GATAGCACCGGCGATGGGCCCAAGCTGGGCTGAGCTCGCTTCGTTGGTGGGTTTCTCAACGTATCCTAAGAGGAGAGGAGATCCAACAAAGGTTTCTGGTAGGGGTGGATCTACGCGGTTTCGAAGACCCAAGGTGATGTTCAGATATGCTTGTTCAAGTTTTCCTTCATGACCGCGCGCACGGTTCATTGAAGTCCAGATATGAGCCAGGATTGCATCGAGCCTAGAAACTCGGAGTGATTTGATGTCGTCTGGCAAGCTTGCTTGTGCAGCTTCTTTCATCCGCGTCAACTCAGCTGCCGTGAAACGTATCTGAACGTGATCGACCGGTGCGCTCATGTCCCAAGTTGGCCAAGGGGGATACGTTGACGGGCTGAGTTCGGTCGTTTGCAATTCGTCCGGCGGTGGCATAGTGGCCAGTGAAGCTGGTCTGACTCCACGAGGATATCCTGGTGCATCCTCTGCCCACCAGTTGAATCGGTGCATCGGCAATGCTCGAGCCTTTGCAACGATTGTTGCGTCCGGGAGACCTCCTGGTGTGAGCCCCGCAATCTGGTCAAGCCGAATCGGATCAAAGACAGGTTTGAACATGCTGAGATCATTGGTTGCGGCAATATGGCCCAGTAGAATCTTCGACCTTGTTGCCCAAGAGTACATGAAGTTCATCAAACATATAGCATCTGCGAGCGGATGCGAAATCATGGCGCTGATCCCAAAGCCTCCGCACTTGAACGATGTCAGCTGAACAGCCATGGAAGGTAGCCCGTCGATAGCATCCAGAGACATGAGCGCAATCTTGGTTTTTGGCAAGAAGTCGCTTTGCTGGAAGCGCGAGGCGTTCCACTCTTTCAGATTCGTCGCTCTCTTAGCCCTGCTGGGGACTATATCGCTGAGCTTTGAGTCATGGGTGGCGATGGAAAGCTCAACCCCGGGATCTCTGGTCGAGCCATACGCAACTACTAGCCGGCCAAGGTGTCGCGGCACTGCATCGTCTTTAAACTGCTCAGGTGTAGCCCATTGGAGCTGGCCTGCAAAGTGCGGATAATCGTTTAATGTTTGACTAAGTGCGTGGCCGAGGTTCTCGAAAAATTCGGTATGTGACAACTGTGATGTTTTCGGCTTGTCGTAAAGCCAAATCGCAGCCGTAGGTGTGAAACGAGCGACTGTCGAATCAAGTATTGAGAGTTTGGAAACGACGGGCCCGGGGGAAGGTGAGTTGCGTAATATTCTCCGAGTTGCGTCGATGCTGCAGTGTTGTGCAGCGCTTGTGGTTGCTGACATTGTTTATTCACTTAGTTGGCGATTGCTGTGGGAGGCTTCGAATGGTGCAAATATCTCACTGTGACATAAAGTGAGCTCTACTCGAGTTGCCAAGCAAGCCTACGAGCGAGCAAGATGCTGCGTGCTTAATAGGTCCAAGTCTTCAACGCGCACAGACAAGACGCTAGAGCCGAGAGACGACATGGGTGCCCGTTCGAGGTTCGGCGAGTAGTTGATCTGGGTCCGGTATGATTCATTCTGCATCATACCTGAAGTCGACTAGCTCATCACTTGTTGATTGGGCGTTGAGTCTGATATGGCGCGCGGGAGGGCCCTGACCCCTGTTGGTCTCACTGCGACATGACCAACGAAGTGTTCTAGCGTCTAAGCGAGCTTCTGGTTGATGCATGTCAGATCACAAGAACCCGTTCAAGCTGCTGTGCCTCACGTAGCTTGTTGATGATGAGCTGGATGAGAGGGGAACACTTGTTGTTATCTATGCTACTGCTAGATGTGTGCTCGTTTCTGTATGCTCGCTGAATCATGAAGACGAGGTTCAACCATAGCTTGGGAATGACACGGCAGAGATGCGAGTTCATCGAATTTGCGCCGGCCTAGCTGAGTAGGAGCTTGACAGTGATGTGGCTATGTGCTCGATGGGGGTTGCAGCAGGATCAGCTGGGTGCTTCAATGATTGATGAAAACCTGTGAGAGTCGTGTTTGAGGATCGGCTGAACCTCGAGAGCTATTTCAATTTTTCAAATGCTGTTCCGCATGTCACTAGCACAATGCGCAAGCTTGCTAGATTGGTAGTTCACCAATGTTTCTGAAGAAAAAATTGCTAGCATGGAGAAGTCTTGTATGTGAAATACTAGAATAGCCAAGGCAAACTTGTACATAAGCAAGACAGATATTTCCACGGAATCCTTCGCTCGAGGCATGGTCAGATGGTCGGGCTCAATGTGCTGCGAAGTCAGCTTTCTCACACCGGTCTTAGCTGGCGGAGGTCGCGAGTGAAGTGTTGCCTATTGATTTATCCGACGTATACGACGTATCTTATCATAATCAAAAGCTGATTGGAAACTTAGACGCGCACTCAACCGCAAAGAGTGTTCCAGCGGCTGCGCCAAAGACCCCAGTCAAATGCCTCGTACTTTAAGGGAAAAAGGCGGACCAGCAACCGCAGACGATATCATTTGCGCGAGCGGCTGGATACTGCCAGATCGTGTGGGCTGTGTTCCTGGGACTTATCAGTGGTGGCTGAGTACGGTATAGAGACCAAAGCTTGTGGATATCTAGGTTGCCGAGACATCAGCTCTCATATTTCATGCCCGACTCGAAAAGGAAAGGACTGATTGAGCGTGGGGAGGACATGTGCGCGGTGAAAGTGGCACACGTAGTCTTTTGATGCAACCCCATGCCAGGTTAAATATACGTGACGTGTTCACTAGGTGTCCTGACCTATCGGATCGATCGACCTATGCAAAGAATCCTATTACCACCCTTCGCTAGATACATCAAAGGTGGCTGCTCCCGACTTGACGGCTATCTAGCCGGCGGCACGGTGATGAAAGTAAGCTCAAGACCGTAGTCTAGTATGAAGCACCCATTGAGATGGTATAGCCGAGGGTGGTCAGATATCAGTGGTTCTCAATGATATTACCACCTTGACCTGCAGCAGTTCTTCCCAATCAGGAAGATTGCTTTGCCCATCTATTTAGGGCCGAGCCGCCTGGAGTCAACCGTAAATGCTCGCTTCAGTCGTCCCCACACTCCAAGCCATGATCGCGATACCCAGCAGCACTCTAAATGGATGCCACGTCTCGTGCGATAGATGCACACGTGCGGCGGGAAGGCTGGGGGCCCTTCCATCCATGCTACCTAAGGTCCTTCAGGTCGCAGCTCGCTCTCCTCGGACCAGAATGCTGTGCTCGCACTCCCCAGCCCCCCCCCCCCACCCCACCGAGATCAAGTGCAGTCTATAGTAGACGCAGACACCTGTCGCCCAGCCACAACCTACACTATGCACGCATCTTTTCTCCGGAAGAAACTCGTGGGGTAGCCTAAGTTGTGCACCCTTCATAGGGCTGATGTTGTGGGACAGAGATGATGCAAGGTTGGTGGGCAGTGCTGGTAAGGTGGCACTGCCCTTACGTCGGGCGCGATGCAGCTTAGAGGTTGTCTGAAGATCGTGACTATTTGTCTATTCTCAAAGCATCAGAATTCTGTCTCAGTCAGTATATATCAAGGCCAGTTGCTTCTCGACATTGAACATGGGTTCTCAATACTCGTCATCACACACCACATTTCAGACATCTTCTTCTCTTCTGTTCTTTGGATTTTCTTTCCTACTCCTCATACTCCGCACAACTTTTTAATATCTCATTCTCTTGTACTCGTTATTCCAAATGCCTATGCTCACTTCTATCCGCAGCCGCTCAGGCTCTCCCCCGGCTATGCCCAGCCCTGAGCTCAACAGCCGTTCTTCTTTCCCAATTCAATCACCTGAGATTGATAACATTCAGTTTCCGCGCTCTTGGGAAATGGCTTGGGAGGCAGCGGGCCAGACCAACTTTGAGCGCGCGCAAGCTTTTCTGTTCTTCTACCGTGGAGATGACGCCTCCACCAACAGCGAGCTCCGATCCATCGCAGCAAATCCCAAGCATCGAGATGTCGCCTCTCTTGCGGTTTCAGTCCAAATAAATGTCTTTGGCAATCGTCATTCGACTTTCAACACTACCTCGCTTTTGCAGTGGATGCGCTTCGTGCTCATCAAGAGCCAAGCTCTTACTTCCTCCAAAACGAATGCTGTTCGTGATTTCTTTTTTGATCCGTCGGTCGCCCGTAATTTACCTCAACTCCCACAAGACCCAATTGTCTATCAATACCCAGCAGCCCCTCTCAAAATCATGATCATTGGCGGAGGCCCCACAGGCCTGGCTTCCGCAATTGCCCTCGCCGAGAAGGCCGGACCCAGGGTTGAGGTCCATCTCTACGAAGGCAGATGGATTCAGCAGCGGGGTAGCTCCTTCGTCAGCTACCCACCGAAGGCCCGTCGTCGCGACCAGGTAGTCACGCTTCAAGACACCGTGACAGACTTGATGAGCGATAGAACGAGACAAGCTGTCTTTGGTGGGAATTCCGAGCGTGTTTGGCCCGGGTCCAGCAACCTGCAGATACGCAAGCTCGAAGACGGTCTCTTGCGACGAGCACAAGATAGCCAATTTCGTGGCCTCATCTTCCTACATGCCTCGCAGGTCAGACAGGACAATCTCTCGGAGTACGGCGACTTTCACCTAATGCTTGGTGCCGACGGAGCTGGTTCATGGCTCCGCAGTGCTTACTTCCCGGGACAAGAAGAAGAGGTTGGAAAGAGCTATGCCTTAGGAGTCGCTTTTGATCGACCTCGTGGCCTCCCTTTCTCACAGCCCATCAACATCTTCCTCACCATGGGTCAAACTCGCTATCTCCTCAATGCCAGCGACTTTGATGGCACTGGATACCTCAACATGCAGTTGACCGAGGCTGAGTGGCACCAGATGGTCTCGGTCGATGGCCATCCTTGCACATTCGGTCGACCAAGTTGCCTGAAGGTCGATGACTGTCTGCCTCATGGCTTCGAGGAGAACCAGGTCTTTGCACCATCTCAGCAACCTGACAGCCCGCTGTGGAAGGCGATACTCGATGGTCTGGAGCTTTACGGATTCAAGCAGTGCGAGGTAAAAAATATTGTTCGCATCCCCATTGTTGTACGCAGGATCAACAAAGCCGTCGAGCAGGTTCCGCAGGGCGACTCTGCAGCCCTGCGCCGACCCCATGGTCTGGTTGCCGTGGCTGGAGACGCGGCAATGACGGTGCACTTTTGGCCTGGTAGAGGCGCGAACTCCGGCATGAAGGCAGGCATCGCTTGGGCCGATGAAGTTGCTCGCGCTCTCTTCCACCGCCAGTTCGTTGGTCTTCAGACCTCTTCGCTGGGGATGTACGACGACTTTCTGCAAAAGCTCCAAGAGCGGGAGCACGGCGGTCGCAGCTTGCCCATCGTCAAGCAGACCGGCGATCCTGACATGATGGCCTGGTTGATGCGCAACGCTCGACTTATCCCACAGCACGTGGCAATGGAGTGGCTCGTCGGCCAGATGCGTCGCGATGGCGTCCGCATTCAGAGGCGGGCCGACTGGGCTTTTGAGCAGATCAACAACCTCGAACCGCAACTTCGGGAGATCCTTGAGAAGATGGATGCCGTTACCATCCAGGAGATGGCCGCAACGTTCCCCTGGCCTACGCGGGAGATGGCTGGGGCTGAAGTCCTCCCTGAGAGGTCTGTGGTTGACGCGTGCTTGAGTGGTCAGAGGCCGACGGAGATTTCGAAGGTTGAAAAACAAACAAAACCGAAAAAGCAAGACAAGAAGAAGAAGAAGAAGAGTGCAGAAATCTCCGTTTCCGCCTCTGAGATTTCACCGGCATTCCTGGCTAGCCTAGCGACTCATAACAAGCCAGCTCAGCGGTCTTCTTGGCGTTCATTCAGCTTCAGTAGAACGCCTCAAGCTGTTCAGTCGTAGTTTTCTTATCAGGACGGCGGGCTTGCGAAAGACTCAAGGGACTGAAAGTTGTTGACGGTCTGGTGGCTATTCTCTGACAATACGGCAACAGTAGGTTGAATTTACTCGCGGATCAAAATCTGGAACTCTGGGAGGGAATTTTGGCTGGCGTACGGATAGTTGGACTGTGCTTAGCATCGCATTGGAATTCAATGGAGTCGCCCTACATGAAGTTTAGCAATAAGAACAATTGAATGAGCTTTTATAGTCAATTTGATCAAATATTTGCTGTTTCTTCTAACTTCGAAGTTGTTCTCAATGACAAAATCGTTGATGTAACTCACAGGTCACATGTCAATATCGAGCGGTGTAAGTGTTGTCTTGATCCCCCTCTGGTACACAGCCTTCCTTGAGAAGAACGATACATATAGGTTCCGCTTTGACCAAGCAGTTGGCGGTCCAGTTTGCTTGTCTCAAGGCCCAAAGTGCAAATCCGCGCCAACACAAGGCAGATTCACCACGCCAAATCTAGCCAACCACTCGCCGCAGCAGGCCAACCACTATGCGGCCAGCCCCAATATCTTAAATTGCTGCGGTGCTGTTGGAGGAGGCCTGGCGCCAAACCATGTGCCACAGGATCGGCCTCTTTCATTCGCTGACGGCAATGCAGTGCAACCAACTCGTTCGCCTTGAAGCCCTCAAGGCTGCGTGACTTCACCGCGTGAACAGCTTTACTTAAATAGACGCAGTTGGCACTCTAAGAACAATTGATTGAATTTTAGGTCACGTACGAGTTTCTCCCGATCGCGTCTCACAGAAATCGGTGAGTGTTCAACATGTCCAACGCAGACAGCCAAGGACCGTTATCGCTGGAAGAAAGGTGGCAAATGTGCAAAAGTCAGGATGACCACAAGGCTTCCCTCATCGAGGTATTTTCGTACTCGTTATCTGGTTCATGTATGATTTGACAGGTAGCTGATCGGCTCAATTAGGATTTGTTCTCCCACATTGCAGAGCTTTCCGACAAGCTCTCCGAGGTTAAGATGGAGCTCAAGGAAAAGAAGATGCTGGTGCGGTCTTTGTTTGATACCGATGACAAGAGCAAAGATCAGATCGGAAGGTTGCAAAACGAGAAAGTATGTTGTACACCCTGCTTCACCAGCCAGAAAAGCGCTGACCCAGCCAGGACAAACACTGTTTTGCAATGATCCTCATTGACGGCGATTGTATGCCAGTAAGTCAGAACTTTTCAGCCTTCTTGCTTCCCATCAACCGATATCTCAGTTTTCTGATGACTTGGCAAATAATCAGTTCCTGGGTGATCTTATTGAGCAAGGACTCGAGGGAGGCAAGAAAGCTGCAAGCCTTTTGCGCCTCGCCGTTTTTGATGAGCTGAAAGCCATTGACCCCTGCCTTCCGCATCACCTGCAACTTGCCGTCCGCGTTTACGCCAATATGAAGGGTCTGGCCAAGACTTACACCGAGATGGGCGTTATCCCAGATCCGAGCGTTTTGGATGATTTCGTCCGAGGTTTCAACATGTGGAACGCAATGTGCGACTTTGTTGACGCGGGTAATGGCAAGGAGTGTTCGGATGAAAAGTTGAAAGGTAAGTGAACTTACCAAAGCATTCGAGGGGCGACAACTAAAAGCTTCCAGCAAATTTTGAGTCCAGTGTGTCGGATGTTCACTGTCGACATGTTTTGTTTGGTGTCTCGGCAGACAACGGTTACGCTCGCCTATTAGGGTCGTACCTCGATAACGATGAGATCCGCAAGAAGATCGTGCTTCTCGAAGGACCTCCATTTGCGCAGGAGCTAGCCGGCATCAAAGACCACTTCCGCGTCGCTTCTTTCAACAGGGTTTTCAGGCGTCAGAAACTAGTCAACAACGTCAAGCGCAAGGTTTCATACAACATCACACCACCTTCGACGCCTTCGCCCAACTACGCGTCAGCAGCTGCAGGAGCTCCATCGATTTTTGCTGGAGACCTGTCAGTACGTCAGCAAGTTACGGTTGACCCCAGGACGACTTTGCCCCCTTTAGGACAGGTGCTTCGGAACAAGGCCGGGCAACGAGTTGATCTACCACTCGATTTCACCCACCAAGCATTCATCCTGATGAAGAACCGGAAGTTGTGCAACAGCTTTCACCTTTTGGGTAGATGTCCCTACAGGGATTCTTACGGGAAGTGTTCGCACGAGCACCGAGGCAGGTTGAGCCCGAAAGAGTTACAGATTCTTTGGGCCGTCGCTCGTCAGTCTCACTGCCATACAGGTCTCAGCTGCACCGATCCAAATTGCGTATTTGGCCATCAGTGCCCTCGCGAGAGTTGCAATGGGGCGAGCTGTCGTTTGAGATTCCCGCTAGAGTTGCATAACATTGACAAAAGACCTACTCGATGAGGCTTGGGAGCGAACGTAGTATTGGCGCCTCCGTAAATGTCTGCTTGCTCTGCGTTAAGTGCGTCACAAATCTGGACGGGTTTCATCAATGAGCAAGTTACTAGGACATGGAAATCAAGTTATGAGTGCTTCTGAATGAATCTCAGAGTCTATCAAAATGTCTAAGGGTGTAATATCTGAGATGCGCTCTATGCAATCAAATCCAACGTGAGATACATATACTCCAAACCTCAAAGAGATCCGTTGGAGGGCGGATCAAAGCTTCTTTGCCATAATGTTATCAGTTTGGATTACTGACCCAATGGCAAAGTCATGGGTCCCACACTCCTGATACCCCCATTTCCCGTACGCCTTTTGCGCCCGAACATTTTCTTCCCAGACGCCCAACCAAATATGCTTGAACCCTTGTTCCCTAGCCATATCTTCTAACTTGTCTGCCAAAAGCTTCGCAGCGCCTGTGCCTTGCGCCTTCGGATACATGTAAATTCTCTGTAGCTCAACAGTACCGTCGAGATGTGAGATACATGGCTCTGACGAGCCCCGGGTGAGCATGGCGAAGCCCAGAATGTCTCCAGTAGGATCAACTGCGAGTATTGTGTCTTTGTTTGAGTCGTCGAGATCTTTTGTGATGGCTTCGAGGCTGTACGACTCCTCTAGGAACGCTTGGAGCTCATGCGGCTCGACTGAATGGCCGAATGTGACCGTGAAGACATGGGTGGCGAGTTCTGAAATTGCTGTGGCGTCGTCAAGAGTTGCTGGCCTTAGTGTGGCCGTCATGCGAACACCTTCCTGGACATTGAAGGACTTTGCCATGGTCGATGTAGTCAAGGTTGAGCACAAATAGTAGTGAATCGGGATATGTGTGGCGTTACGTGGCGTGCTTTTCTGGTGCAATTGATGGCCCACACCGATGGCAGATCTGATCGGATGGGTCGGATTACTTCTCAAGCCCGGTAATCTGGTTCCAACGCCCTTTTGTACGGTTCCAAGATGTCGCAGACTTGCTGTCATCTTCATTTGACCCTAGCCAGAAGACTTTCCCAAAATCGATGCTTCCGGAAGACACGTCGGTAAAACGCTAAAGTCCCACTGACAGGGCGCGTCGAGCCGCGTCGGCTGTTGTCTCCGTGCGGCTACTAGAGGAAAGTCTCGCCTTTGTTAGGGCGCCTTGTTGTCAAAGCCACAGGTCAAGAAGCAAAATGATTGGTTGCATTTGCTCAGGAGTCTCCATCTAGCCTGCGCCCTTGGCACGACACCGGTCATGACCGAAATCTGCACTCGATTTGTCTCCATCGCATCAACAGAACCAGATGTTCTGGACAATACTCGAAAGTGACGTATCCAGGTGGACGTTCTCCCGAGTCTTTGATTTACTTGATGCTTCAGCGCAGAAATTTCAGGCGCTAAATATTACTCTGCACGTCGATTGACCCCCCTTTATCATGACTCAGTCTACATTCTCAGGTGAGTCAGGTCCGAGTTCAAACATTCAGTGATGAAGCAATATCGATGAAATTGAAGTCTAAGGTATAAACTACGGGAAATTTTGCTAGATGAACGAGAAAACAGAAACTGAAGACTTAGCTTGATTGATGTTACCCATTGAAATTCCAGCAATCCCATTTGCTTAGGCGCGTTCCGACTTTTCCTCCGTGTTCTTCTGTCTCGTGCCAAAGATGACAATACCACACACAGCAGCACTTGAAATCGCAACGAAGAGAGCACTCACTGTGGAGAACCAACCCACGCCAATGCCCTGGATACCTGGAAGTACCACAGCCGTACCGATGGCAGCAAAAGTGTACCTGATGAAGTAGTTACCAGCTAGTAAAATACCGTCAGCTTGTCTGTCACTTGGCCGAGGGGGGAAAGTTCAGCATGCTTACCCATAACTTCAGCTGCCCTCTCTCTGAAAACATCTAAACAGTAACTGTTAAGACACGGGAAGCAGACCATCTGCGCAACGCCTTGCAAGAACATGCAGATAACTGGGAGTGGGATTCCGCCCTTAGCCCTGTCAATTGCCCATCCGTAGATGATGGTGGTCGCCGGGATGACAACCCCGAGCGCGATGAAAGCACTTCGCAGACGGTCTTCCGGAATACGCCGTCCTCTCTTAGCGATCCACTTCTTCACGGTGTAGTCGGCATATCGGCCGCCAAAACAGGTACCGACGAGATATCCTGCTCCAGGTGCCAAGAAGAAGAATCCTGACTGTAGAGGGGAGGTAAGGTGAAATCTCGGGTTGATAACGTAGCGAACTGGTGTCAAGAGAACCTGCATATTCCACAGGACAGACGATGCCGCAACACCCTGGGTGCATAGTCAGCTGATGATACACATTGGTGAAGGGCCTTACCGCCGTAGACTGTAGCTCCATGTCCACTAGGACGGTCGTTGGTTTACCGTAATCGGTCTAGTGAACACCTCCAAGGCTCGTTGATGACGAAAGGGCGAGGAAGACTCACCACAATGAGGATCTTGGGGTATCGAAATAAACTGATGACTCGGAACGGATTCGCCCACTCCCAGATCTGGCCCATCTTCTCTCTGGTCGTCATACCCTCCAATTCTTCAGACCACTTTCCGTGACTTGTTTCTGGGAGGAAGGCGACTGCCAGGACCATAGCAGCGCCACCGAGAGCACCCTGGAACCAGAAAAGAGATTTCCAGGTTGAGTACGTAACAATGACACCTCCGATGAAAGGACCAAGGGCAGGCCCAATGCTTATGAACAGTCCATGTATCAGCCATGAATATTCGGTCGACCAGATAACAGAGTGGGAAGAGACTTGGACTCACAGGGTGCCTCCAAGAAACCAACCCAATGCCGTGCCACGTTCAGTCGGGCGATAAATGTCACTGAGACAGGCAGACCCAACGATGAGGAAAGAGGTTCCGGCAAATGCAGTGATTGACCGGAAAATAAAGAAAGCTGGCAGATTGGGGGAAACCGCTGTAGCCAGTGAAAACGCGCAGAACAACACTGTCGATATAACGAAGATCTAGGACATTTAGTTCAAGTGTAGGGCGAGATATATGCCAAATTGGCCGATTAAGAGCTGGCTGCAACTATGATACATGATGGTGGAATGTACAAAGGTGGTTTTGCTTACCCATTTTCTGCCGTAGACCTGACTTAATGGGCCCCAGAAGAGAACACCGATGCCCATCATTAATAGGAAAAGAGCATTGGTAAAGTTGATGACAGTTCCAGTCGTGTTGAAAGCCGCTGCTACCTCCGGCAGCGCTGAGAGCACGAGCAGTGAAGCCAGGTTGATGCCCAAACCACCGAAGGACACGATAGCTGTGATGAGTCGCTTGCGACCGGGTGTAAAGCGATCGTAAACTGTCTCATCTTCACGGTACGAGTATGGTCGGCTGGGCGTTTGAGCAATGATGTTCACACCCTTCTCGGCGTTGGAGGTCCTTAACGCCAGCAGGTCGGGAGGAAGCTCGTCCTTCCTTGTGGGAACCTCTGACAATGTGTGTTCAGACATAATGGACATGATGACGGTGATGATTCGAACATGGAATGCAAGCAACAGTAGCGGAGAAGCTGTATTGACAACTTGAACTTCAACTAGGCAGCTGATGAGAGCAGAGGTTGACAAGAGAAAGCGACAGGGGTTGCCAAGGAAAAGTGTCCACCAAAAACAAAAATAACCAGTCCTGAATTGTTCCGATTTTCTGAGGGGGGCGAAGCGCCGTATATAAAGCATCAAAACCGTACCAGAAAAAATGTCAGAAAATTCTCGGCTGCATACTTGGCCACCTCGGGATAATGATTCCGAAGTCGGGCACTGGGACTATCGCCTCCGAAACGCCTTCAAGGACATCATCCATGGTCTTTGTGAGAAAAATGCCCCTAAAACCAGCAAAAAATGTTTCATTGGGCCCCCAGTCTTTGAACCTGTATGCTAGCGGAGCGTCTCCGCAGCGGGGAATATCTGCAACCTTTTACGTCTGTCACCTCCACTTCAGGTTGGAATCAGGTTTCGATATTGGACAAGGGCAACGACTTGGAGCTCCACTGAGGCTGCATGTGTCTTATCTAACATCATTCTCCAGGTCGGAACAGTCTGGGCCACCTTGGAAAATACGGAAAGGAGCCGGGGCCGGAGCGTGGGGGTTCGCCTGGCATATCTGGCCGCTCTTGTCGGCGCCGCTGAACCGGCGCAGGGCAAGAAGGCCGAAATCGCAGTCCCCGAGGTCGGCCGGCTTTGAGGCCTCCGAGAGCCGTTCGAGGGCCGGACACGGGTCCGTCTACAGCCGGAACGTCGCACAACGTAATGGTGCAGGAGCATGATACACCGCCAATCCCTGAAATGAATAGCGACAAACTCATTCATTTGCTGTAAGGGATCTCATCAAATTACCGCTACATCGTGTTTGCGCCCGCTAGAGGCGTAGTACGACAGTAGCTCCGATTCTCGGAGCAATGAGACCCGACCTAATAACACTTGATCTGAGTCAAGCAACTTGACTGCTTTCACGGACCTTGATTTTAATCATTCAATCCTCGGCAAAGAATTCAAGTGAAAAGAACTTTAGATTTATTCAATCTCCTATTCTTGCAAACTTGTAGATCATCATGGAAAAAAAGTCTTACTGCATTGGCTTTAAGGCCTCTGATGACTAGAATTCTCCCTGGTAGCATAAATTCTCGCCTAAAGTCTACGGCCACATTTCGATTGTCGAGTGCCTTCATCTCGTCTTCCAATCGTACTCCAAGCTCCAGGCGTATGCGACTCGATACACGTCCTCTTCATGCCACCACTTGCCAATAACCTGCATGCTCACCGGCAGTTTTGTTCCCGAATCTTTCAGAGGACCTTCCTCAATCGGCAGCATACCAATCGGCATAGCCAGAACCGGATGGCCTGATTGATTGAATGGGGCGGTATTAGCAGTCAGCCCGACTTGCTTTCCAATTTTCTCGAGCGGGGACGCGTCATAGGGAGTATGAGAATTGGCAACGTAGGGTAAGTTCGGCGTTACCAAAATATCAAACTCTCGCAGAGCATTGTCATAGTCGTCTCGCAGCTTTCTGCTGAGATTCGTGGCCTTGCCGAGCAACCCTGGGAACGCTGCTTGCGCGTAGACACCGTTGAGATAGATGTTCTTTGACGAAACGTACGCGTTGTCCCACTGTTCCTGGGTAAGATTCTGAAACTTGTCTGTCAAGTCGGTCATGATGTGGCCCCTCCTGCCGAATGCGAGGTTTCTCTTGGCCAGGTACCCTCCGCTCTTGCTGATTGCAGTCCAAACGGCTGCTCCCTTGGAGTGAAATGGAACGGAAACTTCTTCTACGGTCGCCCCGAGATTCCGGAAACCCTGAATAGCAGCCTCGACACAAGCCTTGACGCGCGGTTCCACGGACGGCTGGCTCATGCCTTCTACCAAAATGCCGATTTTCACCCCTGACAGATCTTTCGGGTTTGTGAGCATCGTCAAGTTATCGTAGTACTTGGGAACGTTGCCTGCGCTCGGCGCCGCGAATGATCTGTCATCGATGTTGTCGTTGCCCGCAATGACCTGAAGCATCAACGCGTTGTCGAGAAGTGTTCGTGTCATGGGTCCGACGTGGTCATTGGTAGGCTCATTCGAGCCGCAAGCGGTGTAGGGTACAAGTCCAAAGGTTGGCTTCAATCCGTAGAGACCGCACCATCCGGCAGGGACGCGGATCGAACCGCCTTGGTCAGCGCCAAGAGCCATATCCACATCTCCGTTGGCGACGAGGGCCCCTGAGCCACTTGAGCTGCCCCCGCTGCTGTAGCCTTTGGCATAGGGGTTATGTACATGCCCAGTCGAAGAAGAGCTGCTTGTAGCGGAATGACACATGTTCTCGCATACGGACTTTCCAGAAATTATTGCACCGGATTTTAGCAGCCTTGTGACACACGTTGCGTCGGTGTTCTAGTTAGGTTAATACGTGTATGACTGATGTGACCAGAACACTGTTGAGCCATGTTGATTTGCTTACTGGAACATAGTCTTCGACAAAGTCGGTTCCAAGAAGCATCGGAACGCCCTTGACTGCGATGTTGTCTTTGATGGCTATTGTTCTGCCTGCCAGCAATCCTCCAGCTTTGGTCTTGTCCTCTACTCGGCATCTCCAAGCCCAAGCACCCAAAGGATTCTCCGAGACATCTGGAAATCGAATGTCCTCTCTTGGAAATCTTTCCTCGTCTACTGGAGGCACATAATCTGCGATGCAGATTGCTATTAATATGCCTCCAACCAAGATTTGGACATGGAACCTACCAGGGAGTGACATAAGACCCACTACAGACTCATGAAACACGGCTAAAAGCCTTTGGTATTCATCTTTTTCGTCCGGCCTGATAGTAACGCCCAGTGCTCGTAAGCTGTCATCCAGTACTTCTGCTGTCACTGGATTTGCCTTTTCTATTTCCAGTGAGAAGACGGACATGCTGTCAGTATGGCTGAAAGGTGAATAAGATTGATGAGGTTCCAGATCAAGCTGGGAAATGGCTTTTACACATAGGCTGTGGTCCGTTGCTGACTGGGCATCTCAAAAGGCGTCAAATGTAATTTCTTATGTGTGGCTTAGGTCGCGTGAACCGTACCAAGATAAGTAAGTCAACGTCGGGACCGTTGGCCAACCTGCCTATCTCGATCGGCCTGCTTAGAAATGACTTATCTTAGCGTCTTCGGGCGTCCGAAATTCCATATAAGTTTTCGAGCGATCGGAGGGAATGGACCGGACCGGTAGTAAAAGGCACCTTAGGTGCTTAGTTATTCCCCGCCATCGCCTTATCTCATCTAGGATCTCCGGAATACCCCGCTTGGTATCAAGCATATCGCGATAACGCTTGATTGGCCTCGGCGAACCAATCTACATCCAAGAGCCTTACCTTGAGCTATGTGTATATCATTAGTGCGTATTTACGCATTTACGGTTCTTTGAATATCTCATGCGCTAGCTCAAATAGCCAGTAAACGCGACTGTTTCGCATTTTTTCTGGTCACTGGATTCCATCATCAACCACACAATTAGTCTCTGCTCTCACCAAAATGGTACATGTTGAAGAAAGCTTGCAGATACCTCGGGACTTTGAGGGCGAGTCTGTTGTTACTCTCAGCATACTCACAATTACTAATACAATAACACTTAGGTTTCGGCGAGGACGGCTTCGATCCAAAATGGCCAAACGGTGCTCGTATCGCCGTTTCTTTCGTCCTCAACTATGAGTATGTTGATTTTCACGAACACTCGGGCTTTCGTCGTTACTAAACCTAAGTGTAGGGAAGGCGGAGAGCGAAGCACATTGGATGGAGATCCTTTCTCGGAACCTTATTTATGGGAAAAAGGCGCATCTGGTGGCTATAAAGAAGGCGCCAGGTATCTGAATGCTGAGCAAGATTTTGAGTATGGTAGTCGCTCGGCCTCTTGGCGTCTCATTCGTCTCTTCAAAGAGTTTGGCTGGAGCTTCACTACTTACGCTGTTGCGTACGCGCTCAAGCGCAACCCCACCTTTGCAAAGGCGCTGGTCCGAGACGGCCACGAAATCGCTTGTCACGGACTCAGATGGCTGGACATCTGGAACTACTCGCTTGAGGAAGACAAGGAGTACATCAAGCAGAACATTTTGATGCTGAAGGAAATATCAGGTGAGATGCCCGTCGGCGCTTACTTTGGCCGTGGTACGCCCAATACCCCCTCGTTGTTCCCGGAAGTATGGAAGAGCCTAGGCGGGGAGTTTCTCTGGTCCTCTGAATGCTACAACGACGATGTTCCTTACTGGCTTGACTTGCCATGGGAAGAGAAGTTGCCAGAGGAAAAACGAGAAGGCATGCTTCTCATCCCTTACAACTACGATTGTAACGACGGAAAGTTCCACATGTCGCCCGGCTTTGGCAGCTCTGTTGCGGAGACGTATGAGCAGTATTTGAAGAACACCTTTGACTGCTTGTACAGGGAGGGCGGCAAGCTCATGAACATTCCATTGCACACACGCATCATTGGCAAGCCAGGTAGATCGGAGGCTTTGAGGAAGTTCATGAAGTACGTTGCGGAGAAGGAAGGAGTTTGGGTTACAACGAGACGAGACATTGCTAAACACATGAGAGCAGAGTTTCCATACAAGCCAAACAGGGAGTGGATGAAGGGTAAATGAAACAAGTGTATTGCGTTAGCCTCAGGTAGTTTGAAAGTCAATTTTTGGAGACATCCGAAGAATCTGTTGATGATCACATCATAATAGTACTATCCAACTCAAGATAAAGAGCCATTTTCGGCTTATCGAGACCGAAAACTGTCGTTTCGAAATGGTTGTCCAAAAGAGGAATGAGTCAATGATTTGAGAGTTATCGCGACGCCGAAGACAGCCTGAAGAACATGGCGAAACGACATCAATCATCGCGGTATTGCTTGCCGACTAACCAAGGCTTGATGTTGAGATCCCGAGACTTCATCCAGCTAGAGAGCTCCTTGCTGAGGCAGTCGAATGCTGAAAACGGCTAATTGACACCAGCATTGTCGGAGCATCCGATCGGAAGTGGCTGGTTAGAGAGTCGGACGTTATCCGAAGACACCCTAGCCCTGCACGGATTAGTCCCGCCCAACAGGCGACATCGGCAAATTGGAGGAGGATCCGACAAGTATGTAAATCGGATCTCCGCCCCTATCATCCGAACGAAGTTTTCGGGGTCTCCAGCACAACAAATCTTGGCATCAAAGTGCGGGCATGACGTCCGAAACTCAGTACTCGGTATCACCGCCCCTGGCGACGCCCGGGACCGTAGCTGTGAACCCCCGGAAGAGGGGCAGGACTGCGTGTACGAGATGCAAAAGTCGTAAGCAAAAGGTACTTACCCAGAGCCAATTATGATTGCACGTCGAACGTTTTCCTCTAATTCCAGCTTCAGTGTGACGACCAGTATCCTATTTGCTCCAATTGTCGTAAATCAGGAGCACAGTGTGATAAGGCAGATGTCGCCGACGAGGCTTCATCGATTGCGTAAGTAGTTGGTCGTTCAATGCCCATCCAGTTGACAAATTTCAATTCAATGTGTGTGGACTGAGCTCTGGTGCAGGTACACACGGGCTTTGGAAGAGCGAGTAGCTTTCTTGGAGAACAAGCTAGCTCAAATCCCTACTCCAGAAGCAACCGAAACTCCGAGGGAAACCGCAAGCAACTACTCGGTTCCATCGGGTAGAGACAAAAATGCCCTTAGTGACGTAGTAGCACACGTCTCGCTAGGAAACTTTGAGGCTCCAGCCTACGTTGGACCATCATCGGGACTCTCCCTAGCTCTGAACCTTGGCGAGATGGTTCAAGCGACTGTCTGGAATAAGATGTTGCCAGACATCCAGGATGGAACTGCGGGCAATCAGGCTAATTGCATCAATCCTAGTCCGAGATGCATCACAGTGGAAGATCTCCTGGCTCATAGTGTCAAGGAGCCTCCGAGTGATGAACAGGGGTCTCAGATGCTCAAGGCGTACACATCTCAGCTGCACTCCAAGTATCCCTTCCTTGAGCCCGAAGAGTTGTGGAAGTTGCATAGCGAGAGACTTACCCTGGCTGCCAAGCCAACGCAAACTCTTACAAGGATTGAACGCTTCGGTATCTTCAAGCTGTATCTTGTATACGCTATGGGGGCAACTTTAGTGCAACTGACTCAAAGGGGGCCAGTGTTCTCTCCAGAGGTATGCCTTCGACAACATTATCAACCACATGTATCATCGAAATTATTGACAAAATTCATCAAGGCTCTTTATATCACTGCTTTGCAACACATCTCAGCAGCCAGGGAATCAAGAACAGTCCAAAATATTGAGGCAATGACGTTGCTAGTGATGTTTCACCTTCGGTCAACATCTAGCCATGGGCTGTGGTACATGATTGGCCTAGCAATGAGAACATCAATCGATCTAGGCTTACATCGCGCGGCACACGAACAAAATCTTGATGGCCCTATTGTTCAGAGAAGACGCAGGCTTTTTTGGTCTGTCTATTCTCTCGAAAGAACCATAGCAGTTTCACTCGGCCGGCCTCTAAGCATCGCAGACAACCAGATCGACGTTGAGCTTCCTAATACCATAATAAATGGAAGCCCATCTGCTTCGGTTATCGTCGGAAACGACATTACGCTGGCACTTGTTCTTTTCAAGCTTCGCAGGATCGAGTCCAAGATTCATCACTCGGTCTATCGCACGGACAAGACTTTGGACGCACTCCGGCCCAAACTAGACCGGCTGCATCAGGAACTCAAATTCTGGCGGGACTCTCTGGCGGACTGGATTCCGGCAGGCCACTCAGATCTGAATTACGCGCTCCTGCTCTACAATCGTGCTCTCCGTCTTCTGATCCAGCCATTCCTGCCGATATTACCAGCAACAGACCCGTTCTACGGGCTGTGTATGCGAGCCGCGGGTGATATATGCCAAGCACATAAGAGATTACATCAGACGCTGGACTACGGCCACAGCTTCATCGCAGTCCAAACAGTGTTTGTTGCAGGAGTCACTCTTGTGTATGGACTCTGGACCCAAGGCAATGCTCTTTGGTCAGTGGCTTTGTCAAACGATATTAGAGCTTGCTCCCTGGTGCTCTTCGTCATGAGCGAGAGGGCCCCCTGGGTACGTAAGTACCGAGACGCTTTCGAGGTACTTGTGAATGCAGCTATGGAAAAGCTTCAGGATAACGAGGCTGGTCTTGCTGAGATGGCCTCGGCCCAAATGAGAGCCGGGAAAGCATCGGGTGCTACTGAGTGTTGTGGAATGCAGAATCCTGACCTTAGTGGGAACGAAACCACGACACGCCCGATTGACAGCAGTTCCAATCAGTTCTTGATGTCTGAAGATGGTGGGATAGCGGTGGGAGAGTTCGAGGGCGCTTGGCCGATGGTCGCAGAGCTTGCGAATTGGATTGATCAGGATACTGAAGGAGGAAGCCCTGTATGGATGCCGAATTTCGAGCTGTTGCAAAGCCTTTCAGGCACCTGGAACGAATAATGCGGCCATTTCACATTGATTACACAATTGGTACGTCATGGTATGGTGTTCAATGAAGGCATTGTCCTTAACTGCTCGTTCTTTGGCAGAAACTGCCGTTGCTCGGAAGGGGCCGTTGTAGCATTTTGATCATTTGCTGCAAATGTGGAAATACTGATTGATTTTGTGAGTCAAGTAATTGAAGATTCTCTACATTTCCAGTCAAAACTTAGTCTCGGGACAATGTGAAAAAAAGACAGTTGGATACAAACACACATATACTCAAGGAAAGGATGCTTTAGACCGTGTACTTCTCGCTGCCAGACTCGGCACCGGCGTTCTTCCCCATGGCCCTCTTGACTTCAGTCTCCTCAACAGAGTAAAACACTCCGCGAATAGTATCAACACTCTCCCCAGGAAGGAAACCCTCTGATGGCGCTATGCTCTCAAAGCTCATGCTTGTCTGTGACTCTAACTCTTGCGGGTACACCGGAATGGGCCAGATAAAACAGGCTACGTAGTAGACCAATGAACCCATGGCAAGAGAAAGCAGAAAGCCAAGCTTGTACATATTCTTGCTTGCCTGGTTGACTGAATTGGGGTCCAAATTCCCAGCAATGCCGTGTACAGTTAACGCAACACCAGCAACCCATGCGGCAACGGCGCGTAAATTCCATCCTTTGTAATACGTGTACGGAGCGCCTTCCACTTTCATGTACAGACTTGGGACATGGAGGTTTCCTCGACGGATAATCCAGTAGTCTACAATCATGATCTGGAACTCGTTAGTGCTCCAAAGCCATCTTGTAGATATCAGGAACATGTACTTACACCACAGGTTGGCATCAGGAAAATGGTGTATGACCCCAGGAAAGTGAGAAAGGAGCTAGCGCTGGCGATGATCTTCCACGGCACGCATAGAGGTGCAAGCAGGGCGCATATTACCTGACCCCTAACGATGTTGATATACCTTGGCCAAAGTCCGCTGGTATCGGCACCAACGGGTAGAGAATTTGAGCCAGCATTAGTCGCGATAATCGCCAAAATCATGCCCTGATACATCGATTAGCAAATGAAAAGGCGCTCTGGGTGATATGAATCTTACAGCGGAAGCGAAGAACATCCCAGCACGCGCTCCAGGACCCCAGAACTCAGTCAAGATAGCGTTGTAGAGATCCCAGACGTTCCAATAGCTCTTGCCAAGAACACCAGCAGCCGCGCTAGTTGTGGCACAGCTAAGGAACATGACGAGCACCTTACTGACCAGAATACCGATGGCTTGTGACCAGGTTGCCTGTGCTGGACGTGTAGCGTACCTAGCGACATCAGGTTGGTTGACCAAAATCGGGCAGAGCGCCGCCATGACGCTGTTGATAGCTTGGATCATGGGCCACACAAGTGCCGCGCCGCTTAGAGACTTTGCTCCAAAGTTGAAGCCACCCAGGCTCCCGCCGTTTGCATTAACTGCCCATCCCAGGACGCCGACTAGTCCTGCAGTTGTAGCCACTGACTTCACCACAAAAAGGTGTCGAAGGATAGTTGGGTGGATGAACATGACCGGGAACTGAATAATCCAGAAGATGAAGAATGCCAACAGATTCTTGGAAGTAATTCCCGCGCTTGCGGGTAGGCGGTTAGGAATATTGTTCCATCCGGATCCGAATATGGCTCTGAGCGCCACTGAAGTGAGCATGCCACCATAGAATGACTGAGTTGCGAAGTAGATGACGGCAACAGAGGCGCGCACGATGATGAATAGTTTTGCACCACTAACGCCAGCAGCAGCGCGAACGTATACGGGGAACCCGACATGATAGCGAGTTGCACCGCGGGAGTTGAGGATAACCACGACGCTGAGGATAGCGGAGCCGATCACAGCTGCGATCATACCGTGCCACCATTGCTGCGCGTTAATTGTCAGAAACTCCATGTCTTCATAGAGAATTGTAAGACAGAAACTAGAGTCGACGTACCAGGCCGATTGAGATGAGAGTTGCACCAAGATTGTAAGACCCCGGAGAAAATGTTTGGGTCAAGTAGTACGTGAAAAAGTGCAAAGCTGTCCAACTTCGGTGCTCTTCAAAGCAAAGTTAGCTATTTGCTTATCGAGTCCAGAGAAGTTCAAAATGACAACTGACCTGGAGGAGTAGGCAGCAAGTCTTCGTTAAAGTAAGCTGTACCCTCTTCGGGATGTTCTTTGGTTTGGATGAATTGTTTGAACTCTTGCCGAGATGAGCAGGCTCGTCTGAGCCTCATGAAGGACATCATTGTTGACAGAGAGCTGTTGAAACAATTTGAAGTCTCCTTGTCTTACCCTACAACTTGCTCAATTAGCACACATCACGAAGTTTCACGCCGAGTTGCGATTGTTTCGCCGTCAGTATTTATCAGATTGAGGTTGTATTGCCTTATCATGAAACCGCCTTTTTTTCTTGATGCCGCTATTCCATCTCCAATTCAGCCTTTCGATAAGAAATAGCTTAGCTGCCAAATTGGCACCTACTATCAGCCAGGCGAGCGAATACTCTCTGATAACATGATTTCCAGATGAGCGAATCATGCGGGATACATAGCGTCGGACATCCGCCGAAAAAGATAAGTGAGCCACATTGGCAACCAGCCGACGGCATCGGATGTTCCGACTAGCAAAGACTTTTGTGGAGACCATCGCTTCAAAACTTGCCGAAATCCCTTGTTGGTCTGGCCATGACGCACCCATTTTTTCAACAGTCAACGTTGAATTCGCCCCCCTTCAACTTTTCAGCCCAATTTTCTCACTGCCGAATCCGGAGCCGAGATGAGGCCGATTGACCAATCTTTGGCGGCGGTGATCCGAGTCTTGGCTCCTCCGGACGCTGGTATCCGCTCTCAACGTCGGATTGTCTCACGAAAAGTTTTCATGCGCTGGTTCTTCTACTCACAGTTTCAGCTGCATGTCGTTTCTGGGTTTTCTAATCATTTGGCCATAAGCTAAATTAATATTCTTTCTATCGAATCCCGTTCACTCTGTCCCAAGTAACTCGACTGGCCAGGGTTGCAGCATGAGGCGCGACCAGGAAACCACAAAGGCCGAAAAGGCTCTTCACGACCAGACAAACATCCTACCTCTGAAGAAACTCCTAGTTGTCTTTGCAACTCTTGCAGTCACTTTACTAGTCTCATTTATCGACCAAAATGGCATCAGTATCACCTTGCCGACGATTGCTGCGGACCTCAACGCGGAGGACACAATATCATGGGCGGGTACGTCATCGCTCATCGCCAACACGACATTTCAAATGCTCTACGGGCGCTTCTCAGATATTTTCGGTCGAAAGGCCGTCTTCTTGAGTGCCATCGGTCTTTTGTCAATCGCCGACTTGCTCTGCGGGCTTTCGCAGAATGCGACAATGTTTTACATCTTCCGTGGCGTTGCAGGCATCGGCGGAGGCGGTATCACGAATCTCGCCATGATCATTGTGTCCGATGTTGTTACTCTGGAACAAAGAGGCAAGTACCAAGGAATCTTGGGTTCAATGGTTGGTTTGGGAAACGTCCTCGGACCATTTCTTGCTGCAGCCTTTGTTGAGAGGGCAACATGGAGGGCGTTCTTTTGGATGCTCTCACCCCTCGGTGTTATTGTCGGTGTCATCTCATACTTCTTCTTGCCATCTAAGCCTCCAGATGACGACTTTATGAAGAGCGTCAAGAAGATCGACTATGCAGGCTCATTCACCTCGTCAGCCGGCGTTATTTTGCTGCTTATCCCCATTTCTGGAGGTCAGTTATTCTTGCATGAGACTCTTTCCTAGCCGTTGATAGAGCAACTACTCACTTGCTCTCACTAGGTGGCGCATATTTCCCATGGAACTCAGCAATGGTCATCAGCATGTTGACAATAGGAGCACTTGCTCTTGTGTCATTTGTAATTGTGGAGTGGAAGTTCGCCAAGCTTCCAATGATGCCAGGTAATTCCCGTCAATGAGAAAAATGGCCCCGAGCGCCGGCTAACAATACGCAGTCCCCATCTTCAAGAACAAAGTTGTTGTTGTCCTCCTGGCACAGTCATTCCTCTTTGGGGCAGCGTACCAGGGATACCTGTACTACATCCCGCTGTACCTACAGAACGCTCATCAGTTTTCTGTCATTCATTCGGCGGGAATCTACGTATCCCTGGTAGTTTGTCAGTCCGTATTCTCCATCATCTCGGGACAGTATATATCTAGAACACAGCGCTATGGAGAAGTAATCTGGGCAGGCTTTGGCCTCTGGACACTGTGAGTCGAAAACCTTTCCAATCCTAGCCAATAAGTTTGCAACTATCTGACAAACGACACAGAGGAGCTGGCCTCACACTCATTTTCGACCGAAATACCAAGCCTGGAATCATCGTCATTCCTCTGCTGATCATTGGCATTGGTGTCGGATTCATCTTCCAGCCAACGCTGGTTGCTCTGCAGGCGCACTCCATCAAGTCTCGCCGGGCAGTTATCACTTCGAATCGCAACTTCTTCCGATGCGCCGGTGGTGCTTGCGGGTTAGCCGTTTCTGCGGCAGTCCTCCAAGCAACTTTGCGAGCGAACTTACCTCCAGGCTTTAAGGGCCTCGCCAGCAGCACTTACTCGATACCGCAACTGAAGGAGCAAGATATGTCCGCAGTTCTCGACGCATACATGGCGGCCAGCCGAGCTGTTTTCATACTTCAAATACCACTCATTGGGTTGTGTCTGGTGGGCTGTTTGTTGATCAAAGATAGAGGCCTGCATTCAATTGAGGAGGCGAAGCCAGATGATACATCCAGTGAGAGTCGGGATGAAGAAATGGGAGACCCGAGTGAGAAAAGCTCACACGACGGCAACCACCACAGCGACGGGCAAGTACTGGCACAGCGCACTAGTGCACCGCAGCAACAAGTCGGGAGGCCGTGAGACTACATGTTCATTGCAAGATTGGGGCGAAAGACGAGATTAGGACAAATTGTGGACTAATAGATCATGACTAATGTGAAAATGATAGACTAATAGACGAAGGATTGGAGATGAACGTCAAAATACGCGTCGGCTATCAAAACTTATTGCTGATTGGACACCTGAAAACCATTCAAGGTGTGGGTAGAATAGCCGCTTGCACAACGACACCATTCTCTGGTGTCTCACAGCACCTCATAAGTGTCGGCGGAAGGTCAACCCCGATCGGGCCGGGCGGGGAGCGCAAGGAGAACTGCTCGAACGGCAATAAATCAGTATCCACTCGTTTGCGCCGCGACATACAGCTTCGGTATGAACACCGATGTGGCTCTTCATAAGAAGGCCTTAACATCTTGGCATAAGGTGCCCTTCAATAGCCGCCTTCTGGCCAATGAGATATATACATCACCCTACCAAGCCACTGGGGTGACCTGATGGAATTATGCTGCCACAAGTAACCAGTATATTCGTATTCGTCACAATCAGTCAATAGCCTCAGGTACCTAGCCAATCAAACAACAATATCCCGGCAACACATTTAGTTGACTTTGGAGATGTTTTGAGACATGTTTGTGAGCCTTCGGAGCCATTTCGCTGCACCCAACTCATCAGCGGGCGTCAACCGTGCCAGCTAGATCCCTTCGAGTCATGGCGAATCCACATCACGAATTCGGTTCGTAAAAGAAACTACCATGTTTGGCACAAGCCAGGGCGCATAATGCCAGGTGTGGGTAATAAGGTGAGCACGTGGAGGTACGAGAACAAGAAACGCATGGCTGGATTTTCGGAGCCAGACAACTTGTGTCTGACGTGGAGCGGGAACAACACCGCGTTGTGCCGTGGCCCGTATGATGGGTGGAGATCGTGAATTTCCCCATGCATTCTCCACGATTCCTCCACGTATTGGCCATTTGTGCCAGCCTCGGTGGGGGTCGTGCCAGACGTGGGGGATGAACCACCAACGCCAGACGTGGAGGGCGTACCCAGTGACCCCAAACCTGGAGGTGGATCGTGTTGTTACACATGTGCCGCTCCATGGCGGAGCTTCGCGATGCGGGGAGCTTTGTTAAGAATGGGATGAATCATGAATGAATGATTGTGTGTGCTTTACCAATGCTTGAACCGTGTTGAGTTCTATCACGACCAGCTTCGAGTCATCTGGAACACCATTGAGCTATTCCCCTACTCTAGAACATCATGGCCAAGATCGCGTCTGTGCGGTATTACCGCGTAAAGCCTCGTTGGCTCATGGTGAAAATCACCGACGAAAATGGCGAGTATGGTTGGGGCGAGGCAACGCTCGAGGGCCATGACTTGGCTGTTGAGGGCTGCCTTGAGGAAATGATTCCTAGAATAGTTGGTCTTGAAGCAGGGTAATGTGACCAACTCATCCTGTCAAGAATTCATCTAACTTCTACATAGCAACATTGAGCACATCTGGCAAACCTTCTGGCGCCATGGCTTCTACAGAGGGGGCCCCGTTTTCATGTCAGCAATGTCAGGCATTGACATTGCGTTATGGGATCTGAAAGGTGCGCCCGGTATTCCAGATGACGATCTCACGTAGCCTAGAAAACTTTCTAACTGGCCATGATTACTAGGACGTAACCTGAAAGTTCCTATCTACGAGCTACTAGGCGGTCAGGTGCGCAACAAGGTGCAAGTATACTGCTGGATCGGCGGCGACAGACCATCAGATGTTGAGGCAGCAGCGTAAGTACCCAGATATGGACCAGGGCGAAAAGATTCTGACCGTTCTACAGGAAAAAGCGTATTGCCCAAGGTCTGACGTGTGTCAAGATGAACGCAACAGAAGACATGAACTGGGTTGACTCTCCCAGAGTCCTGAAAGACACAGTTGAGCGTCTCAAGCAGGTCAAGGCTCTTGGCCTCGACGCTGGTCTCGATTTCCACGGCCGTCTCCACAAGGCAATGGCAAAGCAGCTGGCCAGAGCTCTGGAACCATATGAGCCCCTATTCATTGAGGAGCCCCTACTTTGCGAGCACCCAGAAGCCATTAAACAGCTCTCAAACCAAACAACAATTCCCATCGCTTTCGGTGAACGTCTCTACACTAGATGGGATATCAAACGTTTCCTTGAGGATGCCAGCGTCGACATCCTTCAACCAGATATTGCTCATGCCGGAGGTATATCCGAAACGAAGCGCATCGCTACTATGGCCGAAGCCTACGATGTAGCGATAGCCCCACACTGCCCCCTTGGCCCCGTGGCTTTTGCGGCAAGTGTACAAGTCGCCTTGTCAGCACCTAACTTTTCCATTCTTGAGATGAGCCTGGGAATGCATTATAATACTGAGGCAGGAGATATTGATCTCTTGACATATCTGAAGAATCCCACGGTGTTCGACATCGAGGGCGGTTATGTCAAAGCGCCGACGGGTTACGGGTTAGGCATTGACATTGATGAGGAGATGGTGATCAAGATTTCCAAGGAGACAGAGCCATGGCAGTGCAAGGTCTTCCATGGACCTGACGGAAGCATCAGGGAATGGTAATATGACGGCTCAATAGTTGAAGTCATGTTGTAATTTTAGCAACAGTATTAGTCAAATCACTGTCACCAGCATCTCTCAAAATGAGACAGTTATCTGGAAGTGTATTACTTGCCAAATGGCTACCAGCATATCACTACTAAAAATTCCCTCAATAATTTCTCATATCATTTCCGCGAGTTCAGTTATGCTTTGAGCTAATATTGGATGGTTTTGCTTGCGATCCTCTTACCGTCTGGCGGAGTTTGGCTTTGGAGGCTGGATCATACCCAGTCTTCGGATGATATGCGTGGAAGCATGACATTACACCATTAAAGGATCGGAAAATGCCCGAAACCCCACGCCAAATCACACCATGTTTACTCGGAGAAGTCCTCCCTGGCTCGAGAGTCAACGCCGATCTGGGGCCGGGTGTCAGTCAGACCTGTGGCTAAGCGGGGAAAACAAATGCCGTTTATTACAAGACACATCAAGGCGTGGGGTTCACTCAGCTCAGGATGTTGTCCCATGAGCAGGGCTTTAGTTTGCAGATCACATCGATCCTATTCTGGACCGGATGCTACTTGGTATTCCCACATCTCTAACTTTGACTACATATCCTCAAGTATCATCGGCCCATCCAGCCCCCATCAACAGTAAGCAGCTCTCCCGAAACGTACAAACTCCCCGCCCCCGCGAGAAACACCGTGGCACCCTTGAAGTCATCCGGGGTGCCCCATCTCCCCGCAGGGATCCTGGCCAGAATACTCGCCGCCCTCTCTGGGTTGTTGATCAGCGCCTCATTCATGTCCGTTGCAACATACCCAGGCGCAATCGCATTCACGTTGACACCCTGGCTCGCCCACTCGTTGCTCAGCGCCTTGGTCAGTTGTGCTATGCCGCCCTTGGCCGCTGCATAGGCCGGTACCGTGATACCTCCCTGGAAGCTGACAAGCGACGCCACGTTGACGATACTGCCGCGGTGGCCGTTTACCAAGTTTGGAGTGCGTGTGAGCATGTAAGCCCCAAAGTCTCGGCAAAGAGTCCAGACTGTCTTGAGGTTGACTTGGAGGACCTCGTCCCAGTCGCCCATGGGGAACTTGTGCGCAGGATGCCTGCGTTGAATGCCAGCACAAGTGACTAGAATGCTGACGTCGTGGCCATCGGCTAAGATTCGCCCAGATAAGCTCTCTACTTCCTCTTGATTTGAAAGGTCTGCTGTGTAGATGATGGCCTTTCTGCCTAAGGCCTCGACTTGTATTTTCGTTTCAGTGTTGCTTTCGTCCCTCTTTCTATTTGTCAATATCAAGCTACACGTACAGATGATACTGTTTCTTACCTGAATGAGGATGATATCTGATCCTGCTTCTGCAAGGGACACTGCCATGGCCTGGCCAATTCCCCGTGTGCCTCCCGTTACTACGGCCGTGCGGCCCTCTAGAGAGAAGAGCTTTTCCAGAATAGTCGGCATTGTTGTGGTTGTCTGAGCAAATGTTGCAAATAACTTGCGACACTCCTGCCTCCTGAATATTCTTCATATCCTTTTGGAGTTACTACCCTGATGAGCTTCATAGTGATCTCAAACATCCCCCCATCTATCTACCTAGGTACGACGCGTTCGTAGACCCCCACGCCTGTGCCCAGTTGTACCCGCATTATTTCCCGCCAGCTAGATCTGATTGTCGGCTCGAAACGGGTTTCTGCATGGAGCCAAACTCAGGTGATTCGTGTCCTGTCTCGTATGACGGGGTGCGAACGTAGGTACCTGCGGGGAAAGCTGAACTGAGATGTCACGCCTAGAGTGTAGAGAGGGGAGCAACCATCAGAGACGCATCGGACCATTTCTGGTCAAGTTCACACAACCTCTTTGCGGATGGATTCGTGGTCTCGCGTCCGACCCGCTCCCCGCATGATTTACGGGATGGATGGGGGTCAGCCCCGCAGACCCGGGCCCGCAGAGCCGCTCCGACGTCGGGCTAGGCCCCGAACAGAAACGCCAGACAAGCCAGTGATACCTAGATCCCTTCGTGGGGGTCAGCTCGTTTCCTCATCCGGGGATACTTTGGCCTTGTTGGTACGTCGTCAGATTTTAGCCGGGTTTAGCTCGGAGCACGTAGCACGGGGTTTGATGCGGGGTTTGAAGAGGCGATATTCATTGGGCGCCGGATGACACGAACTACCATGGTGATCTATTGACGACAAGTGAAAGGAGAAGGAAGGAGGTCTACGCAAAGCAACGAGGTGAATCATCACGAGTTGAGATGAGAGCGACAGTCAAGGGACAATATCCTGAGAGCATTGGACCCTTGGGGAAAGCGGGGTAAGACAGACGGACTTCTCCAGCCTGTCACCGTCTGCGAGTCCTGGAAACTTGAATGCTTGACCGTAGCCGAATAAGAAAAGCCAACTTGGATGAAGATGAAGAGATAGAATGTTGAGGCTCTGGAAGGTTTCGGGCTGTGATACTTGTTGGCAGTTAACGAGTCTCAACTTCAAGTGATGAGTGAATGCAGAGACTCAACGTAAAAGAGATATCAAGCATCTTCCTTTCGATCGTTCAGAGATTGTTTCGTTCTCTCATCTGGCTTCCTAGTCGGACCGTATTGTTGTTCGTAAGTTTAGAGGAGTTTCGACTCGGATAATTGGGCTGACAGGTTAAAGCCCATGGCCTGAGTTACAGGGGTGGTGCTGTCTGCATTTCAAAAGTGCCGATAACCGGGCCAGAACAGGTGGGACTTCTGAACACGTTGTCCAGAAATGTCGTGAGCTGCCAAGATTTCGCTTGGCTGCGGTCCTCCAGTCCATCGAAGAGCAGAGTATGTCGCTGTCTTCTCGCGTTGGAAGCAATGGAAAACACATCTAAAGTTATCATTACGGGCTGCACCGTAGCCGACAGCGATGAGCTGACCAGAAACAACATCCCCGCCTTCTGGGCAGATCCCCACTGGCAGCTCGCCTGGCGCCATCGCACCCTCGAGTACCACATCACGCAAATAGCCCAGCGAACGCCGCGAAACCTCATCAGTGACCCCGATACGAAGCGACACGAAAAGGCCGTGGATCCCGCCACCGGGCGAATAGTGGGATATGCCCGGTGGATTCTGCCCGCATCCCACGCCAAGAGCATCTGCGGGGCCCCGGCTTGGCCCGATGCCGTGGTTCCGTCCGTCAGTGAAGAGAAGGAAGCGGAGATCCGGCGCGTTGCCGCGATGGCTCATTGGGATCCTAACCAGGAGTCAGATGAGCTGCTTATTCCTATCCATGAGGCGGAGAATGAAGTTCTCAGCAAGAAAGAATACATGCGTGTGTTGTCAATTCCTCTGCCTTGTCGCTTCCATCTCCCAAGTACTTATTATACTTCTTCCATAGGACTGGACTACCTAGCGGTTCACCCAGATAACCAGGGCAAGGGCATAGGCACTGCCTTGGTGAAAAGTGGCATATTGATAGCCAAAGAACTGGGCCTTGACATCTTCATACATGCCATGGAGGCCGGAGTGGATCTTTACAAGCGCCTTGGCTTCGTAATAGAGACAGAATTTCTCCAAGATGATGCCAAATACGGTGAGCATGGGCATGTATACAGGGCTCTTATGATCTTGAAGCAGGACTAATCGCAATGAGTGTTTTGTCGAAGCTGCAGCAGAGGATCGAACATCACCACCTACACACACCTTGAGTATCCGGAACGAAAGGTTGGAAGGGCGCCCGTATTCTGAATATGTGATAAGTCTATATCACGTCAGTCCCTGACCGAGGGTTTCACCAGCCGATGCGCTGGACAATAGCCAAAGTGCATACAGCAGGCGACAATGCGATCGTCGATTTCTCGATGTGGAACCCGGACACGAGAGTCGTCATTTAGTTCATCACTCCAAAAGTCTTGGCAGTATCTTTAGGTAAAAGTTCGTTCATTGATCAATACGCTATGATTCTCTTGAAACCTGTCCCAAAACCCACACTGTTACATGCATCTACTTTTGCAATGCCTTCTCAGCCTCAACCAACTCTGAGAACCCGTCGATCTGTTTTGTCAGGCTCTCTCCCTCGAGTAATGTGCAAGGCTTCCTTGGAAGCCCTCCGTAGCTGTAGTACTCCTGCAGTGCCGCCTTGACTGAAACAAACCCTCCTTGGATGGCAGTCCAGTCACCACGAGCGACAACTGCCTGCAGCGCTCTCGCTTCTTCCAGCTTGCCCTCATCCCAAAGCTGCATCAGCTTCACACAAGCGAGAGGTGCAATGTTTCCGGTTCCACCGATAATGCCATGGCCACCGACGACGAGTGTTTGCAGAGTGAAGTCGACGCTACCGCCGAATGTCCGGAATGGTGTCGTGTTGTTGTCGCCCTTCTTGGGAGCTGTAGCAGCGGCTATCCGAGCCAGCTTGCCAGTGTTACCGCAGGTCAGCTTCACGCCAACAATGTTGGGGTGACTCGAGAGGTTGATGATGGTATCTGAGTTGAGATCGAGGCCGCTGCAGGCGCCAGGGTAGTTGTAAATGAGAAGAGGAACCGGACTTGCGTCGGCAACTTCGCGGAAGTGTTGTAGGATGAGGTCGGTAGTGAGAAGGCCACCATAATACGCTGGTGGGAGAACAAGTGCGTAGTCGCCTCCTGATGACCCCGCCTCTTTGCAGAGTTGAATCGTCTCTCTCGTCGACTGCGCGCCGCAACCGACAATCAGAGGCAGTTCGGTCTTCCCTACTGAGTCGAGAGCGGCTCGTGTGGTGCGGTTGATGAGTTGTCTCTCGTCGTGGTCGAGGTGCACTGCTTCGCCGTTGGAGCCGTGGGTGACGAGACCGGCGACGCCGGCTTTGGCGAGACGGACGGCGTGGGAATGTGTGGTCTCAACGTCTACTGAGTCGTCGGAACGGAAGAATGCTACTGTCGGAACGTAGAGACCGGGCGTCAAAGCCGGCCGTGCTCCGTGTTGTGTGCCGTTGCCGTTGTGACTGTCGGGACCACCGTTTGCTGAGGGAGACATTGTGGACTGATTCTGCGGGTTTGTGACACGAGAGAGCGAGTAGTTTGCGAAGGCAGATCTAGCAGCAGCGGTGGGATAGGAGGGGAGTTTTGGTAGATTAGCTTACTCGCGAACAAAGCTTTTGTAACAAAGAATCCATCCAAACTCTGAATGCAAGGGAGTCATACGGACCAGCGCGACATGGATGATCATGGGATCGACTTTCGCCCCCTTCCCTTGTGTCGGTGTAAGTCAGGCACAAAAATAGGTAACATAAGCCGTGGGAACGACCCATGTAACCACGTAGTCTGAACCCCCACGCCGGCACCTCTTCCAAGACGAGTCTAATGGTAGATAATTTCGTGGTCCGAGGCCATCGAAAAGCCTCCTCCCTACCCCCCACAGAACGGAGGAAACGAAAGAGTCGGAGACTAAACCCGCGGGGGGCGGTTTCTGGTACCAAACAATTACGGTTTACCCACCCACCAACCCCATCAAACTCCACTGTATCTTCTCCACAATGGTTTGCCCAAGCAGATCATGTATCTGGACAGTTCCGGGCCGGAATCAGCGTGTTGATCAGTCGAGATGGTGACATCCGCGGTGGGAACCGGCGTGGTTTTTATTTCCTTACGCACGCGACTTCGCTGAATTTGTCGCTGGTTGGAGACTATTGATTTGTGTGACGCAGAAAAACCAGCATATGCCAGAGACTTTTCTCTTCCCCGTGGGGGTGTTGGTGTTTCTTGTTTGCATGCGACCATGCGAGGTACGAAGCCAAAAGTAGGACAAACCCATCTCGTTTCCCTTGCGCTTCCGCTAACCCTTACCCGGCCTGGCGTATGTCCGGTCAGATTTCATCTCACACTCTGCAAATGGATCGACACTGGCCCGGCTATGTTCGGTAACCCAACCCACGTTGGCTCTCTCAACCTTTTCTGGGTGACCGTTTGTGCTCCCGACCAACCTCTAGGCGCCCCAGCGGCCCAGGGCCGCTCTCTCAGCTTTGCATGCGCGATCAGGTGAGACACTTGAGGCATCTTTCCGCGGGGATGGGTTGTCATTCCCGACTTCTCGGGCGAGCCTCCCACACTGGCAACGGAAAAACGAGCCCGATATTGCCACTTGGTCCAATCGGGGAATAGCCCATGATTACTAGTGGGATACTTGCTGAATTGGACGAACACCCTTCTCTTCCTGGCTGACTTGGAAGCCATGCTGCGCTTCTGTATTCCGCTGTATACCTTTCATGGGGACCCCGAACACACAAGGCGTGGACGAAGGGCTCGCTTGGATCCATACCCAGAACCAAAAGTGCCTGACTCCCCCAGTGCAGAGACAGCAGATCTCCAAGAGTCCAGAACGTCTCAAAAATCTGACAGTCACGGCAATTCCTGACGGCCAATCACCCACCACCTCCGAGCTCGCCCGCGGTAGGACAGATGACCAATAGAATTACGTAACTGGGGGCAAGACTTCGGGCTTCTTCACCGGAACTTATAAGTGGCTTTTTCGTACGTTGGAGTATGTGGACCACCTGGTCCGCATCACGAGGTTGAATTCATTTTTTTCCCGGTGGGTTGTTTGTTTTTCCTTTCATGTTCGGTGGTTCGGTCGGTCGGTCAAACAGCAGCACTCTTCTTGATATGCCCTCGTTCGCCTGAGCGTGATGGGCGATGAACGGGAAATCGCAGATATTACACTTCAACTTTTGGCAAGAGCGGGAGAAATTACACAAAAAGAACAGGGCACGATGCCTTCTGCAACACTGGCATCGAGAGTCCGGACGGGAGCAGGAGCAAGCGTTGATCAGATCAGCTCGAAGACCGCACCAGCACATAGTGGGGTAGGGAATCGCCAAGGATCATACGAGCACAGAGGACGACACAAGACCATCAAAGACGCAGCTCTAGAAACTGCCCAATATGCTGGAGATCAAGTCCTACAACCATCTATCACGCCTACAGAGACCATGAAGATTCTAGGTCCTCTCCCAGTGCGGAGGGCCTGGAGGGTCAGGCCCGGCCGCGCATCACCAGACATCTCACAGGCGCCTGTGTTGGAAGCAGTTATGCTTCATGAGCGAGGAGACCTGCAAGGCTCTGAGGACCAATGCTCAATATGCCGGAGGGGAGACGGCATCTCATCAGAGTGCGTCAAAATGCCAGGCATCTACAGTGGTGCTTGCAGCAATTGTCTGCTGGCACGCACATCCGATCGACCAGGATCATCGGCGAGGCCGGTACGGAGCTATTCCGCCGAACGGCGGTCCATCTCCGCGACTATATCACCATCCATACCAAAGGAGGATCTGATTGCTGTGTGGAACCTCATTGCGGGCGTGATCGCAACGCAACCCCAAGAATGCTTCACCGAGGACGGATCAGAGCCACCGGGGAAGAAAATCGAAGACGCCGCTCGACTAGTGGCGAGGTCGGCAGACGAATGGGGTCATACGATCAAGGAGGAAGAATCAGATCCGGGGAAGACACCCAAAACGCCTTCGGAGAGAAGCAGGCTTGTCAGACAAGCAACCAGAATTCGAGAGACAGCGTTGCAGATTGCGAATTATGCTAGAATTTGGGGCGAAAAGTTGGAGAGGAAGAGGTCTTCTTCACAACTACGGTGAGAGAGAGTTGCGGTTAGACAGTACGCAACCACAAGATCACAAGTCAAGCACCTAGGTAAATCAAAAGCGACATGTCAATGCTTACTAGGATTCCGGTCAAATTGAACATGATTCAAAGTCACATATGCCGAGTGAAAACTCTTCTCTGCGTGCATTTATCTGGCCCATTTTTCTCGCCGTCTTGCAGGACAATTCTACACAGGGGCAGAATAGACACGATGCTACAAGCATTGAATCCATCAGTCGCGCCGATGATATCATGCTCCAAAGGACAAACAAATGGCTTAAGCCCCCCTGAATACCCCACGGACCCGAGACGAAGGTCGACCGAGATTCACCACACTGAGGCCTCCAATCACGAAAGGAAGGTTCAGTACCGGCTTCCCCGCGTCGGATCAGGAAGATGGCCGAGAAATGAGGGGGAAAGATGGGGTGATGGGGGGGGGGGGGGGAACGTCGGACACCTCTCCGAACCCCTGGTCACAAGCACCGGATGCAACGCCCGGCGACCCCCATCCAACCCCCAAGAGGTCTCCCTCGCCCGTTCCCCCACGATACTCGGGCACACGACACAAGGTTTGCTGATCTGGAGGTCAAAGACGCGGCGAAGGATCAATCTCTGGGGTAGATGCCCTGGTGGCTTCTCCGCCTCCGCACCGAACATCGGGGGCTGAAGTCAGTTGCCGGCCGGTATTCGCAACAGGAATCTGGTGGATTAGTGTACAAATACTAGGCCGAGTGAGGGGGGCATACGAGAAGTGCATACTACAGCGCACATCTGAACGCCAACTGAAGTCCTTGCGCCACCACTACCAGTGAGATTTGACGACACGAAGTCTAGCAAACACCACGATTTCGATCATGACTGCAGAAGGCCAGCAGATTGAGATCCTCCTCTACGGGTTGGGGGCGTGGGTTGCCCACCTCGAAGACCTAGTCGTCTGAAAAACTGACACCATTCCTTCAGCATCGGGTCATTCTACGCCTTTATTCTCAGCAGAGTACCTCGTGTCAGATTAACAGTTATTGCGAGGTCGAATTACAACGCAGTGAAAGAGAATGGAATCGCTATTGCGAGCGAAAACCATGGAGAGCACAACGTACGCCCTTACAGAGGTAAGCACATGAAATCCGGGGTAGCCGCTAGGGGCAAAATCACGACCTTGACCCTGTCAATTCAGCTGTCGAAAGCTAATACCCCAAAGTTGTGAGGAATGCCGCGGAGGCAGAAGCGAAATTTGATTATATCGTCTGCGCCCACAAAGCCATCACGCAGGATGCAGTCCCCGCGGAAATTGCCCCGGCAGTAGATGCGGAGAAATCCACGATCGTCATTATTCAGAATGGTGTTGGTAACGAAGTGCCATTCCGCAAAGCGTTCCCCCACACAACGATTATTTCATGCGTGGTAAGTCGCGGGGGGGAGAGTCTCCAAGAACCTGGGATGAGCTTATGCTAATGAGACAGACCTGGACCGGAGCCGCTCAGCCGCAGCCTGGGCACATCAAACACACAAAGTCCGAGGACATGCAAATAGGATTGTACCCGAATAATACCGACCAGGCAGTGGAGAAGCAGCGACTGGATGACTTTGCATCTCTATTGGAAGAGGGCAAGACAGTATTTCAGGTGGTGCCCAACATCCAAGTACAGCGCTGGGAAAAGGTTGTTTGGAATGCAGCATGGAACTCGCTCACGACATTAACACTGCTCGACACGCACTCATGGCTTAGCTCCTCACCAGACGCTACCCCAATGACCCAACGATTGATGAGAGAAGTTATCGATGTCGCTAAGGCATGCGAGGTGCCCATCGAGTACGACCTGGTCGACAAGCTGATCAACAAGATCTTGGCCATGCACCCCATCGGCAGCAGCATGCAAAACGACTTCAAAGCCGGTCGGCCGATGGAAGTGGACATTATCCTCGGTTACCCCTACCGTAAGGGCAAGGAACTAGGGATAGCTACCCCAACGCTAGACACCATCTATGTGATTTTGACGGGCACAAACCTTCGTCTTCTCAGGGAGTCTGGGCACTAGATAGTTTCCCATCTGAAAAGAGTATAGCGAAGCTGAACACGTCCACAGTCTCGGGTCAGTTGACAGACACCATTTCATCCTTATTTGGTACAAAGGTTAATCCTCAGCCTCTGCGTGGGGGCATCGAGCCGTCAGTCCTCTCACACACCTCCAACTTGCAAGACACCGCCGAGGCCTGTCCAGTCGAGGCCGCACTAGGTCATGATTGTCCCATTTGTGTACGGTTTTATGCACGGCTAGTCAGGTAGCCTGCCCTTCACCGCACGCGGACTTCTTTCCATCCCCAACATCCCGTCCCCACCTCCCGAAGGTGGGCAACGTGTGGTTCGTGAGGGGAATTAGTGCCATTTTCGTCTGGTCTCTCCACGAGGTGCCAGCCATGCGTGCCATGCCAACCTACAAACTTGCTTAGCGCGCGGTGCTGGACTGAGGGGAACGGGTAGGACCCCATGGGGGATCCTCTCACACCCGCCTATCTGAAGCAATTATTGGATGAGATGGTATGGGTTAGATGCACCTCGTACGGTCAAATGTTGCTCATGACGGACTTGGCTCGAGCTTTTCGCCGAACATCTGAGCGGCCTACGACGCGGCCGGCGATACGACGATAAACAGGGTCTAGGTATAAGATGGTTGGAGATCGCCGCCCATCTTGGCTTCCTGGATGTTTGGACCATCAAGGGAGAAGCCGGTTCTCTCTTCTTGAATTCCTGTCTTCCTTCTTAGTCAGCCTTTCATCAAGAGAGCAACTTGCCGCCAACGAACAACATGGACGCCGCATCAAAGACTGGAGACGGTGTGTCTCAGCTTGAGCATCGCAACACCGAGGACGTCGAACAGCTCAAGCATCAGGGCCAGAACATTGCCAAGGGCGCCGACCGCGCGGCGAACCTTATTGGTGATCAGCAAATCGAGGTTACAGAGGAAGATGTAAGTCGACCTATTTTCCAGGTTCTTATCAAAATCGACAACAGCTGACTCAACTACTATTAGAACAAACGCATCCGCCGAAAGACCGATAAGCGAATCCTCTCGATCCTCATCTGGGTCTACTTCCTCCAGATCCTCGATAAGTCCGTCCTCGGATACGGTGCCATCCATGGCCTCAGAACAGACTGCAACTTGACCGGAAATGAATACTCAATGGTCAGCTCCATCGCTGCCATCGCCCAGCTCGCATGGCAGCCGTTCTCCTCTTGGCTTATCGTCAAGGTGCCACACCGCATCCTGATGCCCTCCTTGGTCTTGGGTTGGGGTATCGCCCAGGTGTGCATGGCTGCATGCCACAACTACGCAGGTCTCTTGGCGACCCGCTTCCTGCTGGGCTTATTCGAGGCCGGCTGCCTTCCCCTTTTCTCCGTCATCACCTCGCAGTGGTACCGTCGCGCTGAGCAGCCCATGCGCGTAGCATGCTGGTACGGCACCAACGGTCTCGCAACAATGTTTGCCGCCTCTGTCTCGTACGGCTTAGGTCAGATCAACGGGTCCATCCACTCGTGGCAGATTCTCTTCATCTTTGTCGGCCTCATCACCGTCCTCACCGCCCCCGTCGTCTGGTACTTCCTCGACAGCGATATTCCCTCTGCCCGATTCCTTACCGAGCACGAGAAGCTGCAGGCCATCGAGCGCCTTCGGGCCAACCAGACCGGTACGGGAGGAAACGAGTTCAAGTGGAGTCAAGTCTGGGAGGCCCTCTACGAGCCCAAGAGTTGGCTGTTTGTTGGAATGGCCGTGTGCCTCAACGTCACCGCAGCTGTGACAAACACTTTTGGCCCCATTGTCATTTCTGGCTTCGGCTTCGACAGCATGAAGAGCTCCCTGCTCAACATCCCCTTCGGCTTCGTGCAGCTCATTGTTATCTTCCCGGCTTCCTACCTCGCCCACCGATTCCGCATCAAGTCAGCCTTCCTTGCAGCGGTTCTCGCCCCTGTCCTTGCTGGCGCGGTCATGCTCTATGTTCTTCCCAGGAACAGCATCCCCCCTCTCCTGGCCGCGTACTACATGCTTGCCTTCCTCTTCGGCGGCAACCCCCTCATTGTCTCTTGGATGATTTCCAATATTGCGGGCACCACCAAGAAGTCCGTCATTATGTCCCTGTACAATGCCGGTTCCTCTGCCGGTAACATCATCGGCCCCCTTCTCTTCAACTCCAAGGATGCGCCCGAGTACAAGCCTGGTCTTACCAAAGTCATGGGTATCACCTGTGCCTTGCTCGCCGTCATCGGAATACAGGTCATCAACCTCTTCATCTCCAACAAGATGCAGGAGCGCAAGAGAGTGGCGAACGGCAAGCCGAGAAAGATCAAGGATCTGAGCATGGAGCACCACTATGTCAGCGCACAGAATGATGATACGGGTGCTCAGTTGGGAGACAACGCTTTCATGGACTTGACTGATCGCCAGAATGACGAGTTTGTGTACGTCTACTAAGACGAAATTATGTAGCGATAGTACTTAGAACATTTCCAAGATACCTAGTAGTTGATAATTGGCAAAGTCTTATTGTATGATATATCGTGATGAAAATATCTCAATCTTAAAGTTTTCGGTTCCCGAAGTTTCAAGTAGTTCCCAAACTCTGATACACCAAAGCTTCGCGTTTAGTTACCAGTCGCGATCCAGTCTCTCTGCAATATCGCTCACATGCCAAACCCCGCCTCTACCCACGATCCATAGCTCATTCTCGCCGAATGCCATGTTCACAGCCAGATTGCTTCCTCCACCCACTCGTATAGTGCCAAGTGCTAGTCCAGACACAGGATCAATGACATCGACCCCGTCGCCAGCCCCGACAAAGATCCAACCGTTTCTCGAAACCCGAATACCGTCATAGAGATACGAAATCGGGTTGTTCAAGAAGCGCGCATTCGTGAGAAGGCCTCCGGCTGCGACGTCGTATGCAAAGAGGGCGCGGTTGCCGTACGGATTCTTCCTATCCAGGGGCTTGGCTTCGGAGACACCGGTGTCAGGAAGATACAACACATGACGGCCGTCTTGGAGTGGTGAGACAGCAACTCCGTTGGCGTTTCCTGTTGTAATGTGCACAACTCTCGGTCGCATGGTTGTACCGTTCACCATATAAACAGTTGGGTTTGTTGGAGGAGTGTAATCCGTCAGGTCCCGGCCCTGGAGTAGCTCTTGTTAATTACACATGTGGGATGGGTTTTTTGATGATATGCCCTCTATGAAAAGTGTCGACCTACCCAACCTGACTTCGAATCCGTGAACCAAAAGTTTCCATCAGAGTCAATCTCAAGATCATTGATACCTGCGAAGGGTTGCTCGTAGTAGTTGTTCAACAACATAGTTTTCTCTAGTGTTGCAGGGTCAATGCGGATCAGAGCTCCAGTCTCGTTGTGACTACCGTCCGTTACGACGTTATAGGCTCCATTGTAGTAGACACAACCGTGGGCATTGAGAGTGGGCGGGTTTGTTGTGATCTTTCTGAGGGTATTGTTCTTGGTATCCAGTAGATACTGCCAGCTGTGGGTACCGTCGTCACCCCCGGGAGGTCCCCACTCTACGAAGAAGAGCTCCTTGGTTTTCTTGTTGAAACATGGTGCTTCGTGACTTTGGGATGCTAACTTTTGTACCTGCTCAATCGTAGCCTTTGGTCCAAGTAGATCCATGAACCTTTCGTCATAGGCTATGAAATTCGTGGTGTTTAGGAAGGCATTCCTGTCCCTTTAGCTAAGCCTCCTCATGGAGGAGACAAGTTCGCAGGGGCATACCTCTTCTGTAAGTCTGAATCAGTAGCGTGTCCCTTATAGATAGCATCCATGGCAGATCGATTGAACGATCCTGAAAGAACAGCCACAGAAGGATCGTCATATGAAATGTACGCCCATGTTGCGGTTGTATGGTTGAAAGCATCAGGGAGATCAGTAAAATACGCGACAATGGCGAGCGGCAAAACTGCCACACTCCATAAAACCAAGGTTCTCATGTTGACAACTCTTGGCTTCTCTGAATTGATTGAATAAAGTTTCGGGGCAGCCATTACTGAAGTTATATTGTTCAGACCCGCCCAGCTTGAGAACTGTTCTGAACAGAAGTGACAACGGGTGCTATCCTTCCTTGTGAAGCCGGGCCAGTACTGAGAGCGGACTACTCCGTGTTCTTGATAGTATCGACAAGATCTCGACACTTAGCCTCTGCTGGTGGACTACTCCGCACTCGCATTCACACAGCAGCTTTGCGGATGGACTACTCCGCGTTCTCATCAGCGGCAAGGTCAAACAGCAAGACTCTTTTGGCAACCGCAATGCCGGTTCCGTCTTTGAAGACTACCGTTTCTGATCGCCAAAGCGGGGTAGTCGTACCTGAAAGAAATGCTGTCTTCTCAACTTTGTAATAAGAAAAGCTGCGATGAAGCCATTGGCCAGCATGTCCGAGAGGTGTTTGTGGTGCAGGTGGTGGATACGCGGAGAAGCTCCGCCAAAAGCACCCGGCGGGGGAAGTGCGGGGTTCCGAGTTCCTAACTCTCTAGACGGAGTATCTCCGATTACCATCTGGCGGGTAGTCGACAAAGAGTGAAACTTACCACTGGTGGCGAGTTGATGTGTGTTCTACTAAGTAGGAAGATTTTGCTAAGGGCAATCAAACCTACTGTTTCATTTATAGAGTAGATAACATCAGATCTTGAAACCCTTTTACGACTAAGCAAGTTGGACCAAAGAGTTGACAAGATTCAAAATTCAGTAAGGCCTTGATAATGTCTTCGCAATTCTCATGATATGGCGCTGAGGCCAATAGATCAGTCTATGCATTGAAATATGGTCACACTGATGCAATTCCGTTCGGGCCAAGTTGAGTTCTCCAGAAGGGGTGAGAGAGAGAAAACTTCCTGCGCGAATCGCGCCAAGGGCCTTAGAAAAGAAGGGCGATGAGAACTTGTATTTGATAGCTAAGGCATGAAGGCTCAGAAGATTTCTTCTATCTTTCATCTTGGCTTGTGACTTCGTGAGACAAATTGCCCTGTGATAAGTGAGTGGAAAGCAAGGATTATCGATGTACATTAAATTGCTGACGTTGATCGCGCAAACACAACTCCGACAAGGCGAGCGTCAAGGTTTAAATGATGGAAGTGTGCGCGAGCTCGCTTTCCGTACTTATCAGCTCCATTCCAGTGAATTCTAGGGTCCCGATCAGCGATTTAGGCTCACCCGAGCAAGGCAGCTGTTTCACTCTCGAACAGCCAAGCTGCAGTAGTCACCAGAGAACCACAAATGCCACCACAGAACAGTGGTTGACGCAGTATGGTACAGTTTCCCGCATACTTGGAAGCGAACTGTTAGCTCTTCGTCGCTGCTGAGCCTGCATTTCAACAAGACAGCCTAAGTCTCGGTGTTTCTTGCCGTCCTGATTGACATTCTGACGTCAAGTGGGGGAGATGAGAGGCTCGCCTTCGTATTCTTATGCTTGGGAGTATAGTTCACGCTTCCAGATTCGGGGGTTCGGACTGGGTCTCTGAGCTTAAGGCCGACTGTTAAGTAGTGTGGCCTTGTCATTATGTGAAGTACACGTCCCCTAAGCTGTTGCAGGCTGGAAGCAAGCTCTAATGTTATGATAGATTATAGAGTTCGGCGTGGTTTACGAGGGTGCTTATCTTCTAGAAGCTCATTCACACAGAGTCCCGGGTCGGGTGAGTTTTGGTGGAGCCAGTCTGAATCATTTTCCTGAGTAGTTACCATCGTATGGTGCAACACGTTCCAGACTCCATACGGGGGCAAGGGATGGCGATAAACAATACGAATTATTAGTCTACAGGCCAGTTCTTCACTACAGAGCCTATTGCCAGGGAAAGTTCCTATCTATAGGCAAGATCGGTTGAGGGGTGGAGTTGTGAACACCCTATGAGTCTGCTGGTTCATTGGGAAGACTCCGAAAAGCGTCTAAGAATCAGCGAGTTTCAAAAGCGAGAACAGAATACTCAGAGATTAGAAATCGACTGAGAAACTAGTTCGCTTTCTCTCAGGTCCCAGTCTGTAATCCCTTGGCAACTGAACTGCTCGTTTCTATGGTGTGACATCAACTCCTAGCACGGGATCTCATTCACTAATTCCGAAATACGATTAAGGAGAATGCGTAAAATACGGCAATGTCAAGGATCTCCCGTACCGCTCGGTATGGGGTTCTAGACGACCTTTAAGCTTTTTCTAGGCTCGAACAACGAGGTGTGGTCCAGCTAGGCGTCCTCGGAGAATTGGTGTGGGTGCACAGCCCAGCTAGCCCCCTATCACATTTCACGCTTTTCTTTTCCTATTTCCCCCCTCCATGCCCGTTACCGAAACCGAGCACAGAGACACGACCACTCCAAGGATTTCCCCCAATCATGGGTCTCAACTTGCCGAAAAGGACTATGCTCACTTTCATCCCTCATTCGCGATCGTAACTTCGTAAGGATGGCAGAGGTCAGTGAGGAGAACTGATGGCCGATTGACAGGGCTTCTTTGAGATGAACTTGGCTCTTACTCATCCACGCGGCTGGGAATTCTGCTCTGCGCTGGGTTTCAGCTTCTGAATCCCTCCACATGTGTCACTTTGCGAATCTTCAAGATCATCGATGATGCAAAGCGCAACCTTCACCTCTAGTGTGTTAGTTCTCACTCTTGACTAACATCCCCTTCATAGCCACTGCCGTCGAGTACCGCAAGCACATACGTGCAGAATACCTTTCCCAAAAAATTTGGCACGTTTTTAGCTTACCCGTTGATCAGCAGAGCCGTCATTGGATGCCAATCTAGACTCAAGTCGTTCCTCGAAACGAGGCCTCTGGTAGCTTGTGGGCCTGCCACCCCCCAGCCTTCGGTCTCGCTTTCAAGGATCACTGGCCACCTGCACTGCCTGGCCCACCCAGGAAGATCATTCTGACTTGTGCGACTTCCAGTCCATCTCTGATAATGGCATGCAGCCAACTTTTTCCTTTTCCACGTCCTCACTTGTCAAAAATACAGCCCTCGCAAGCTGACGGGGCATATGTGACTCGTTTTCCTCGCTTTCATGGATCTCGGAAACGCCTAACGAGACAGCGGATGGATCTACCAACCCGAACCCGACATATTCCATCTTTCTACTACTAGTGAACTAATAGTTCCATCAGTGCTTATATACAACTCAACGACCGCCTTTCCTCAACTCTGCTAGAATAGTCCGACTCTGCTTTGTTGCCAACAACGTTCATCACCCATCATCTCTTGCCCTCCAACATACTTACCAGAGCAAGAGAGATCAAACATCAGCATGAAGTCACCAGTCACAGAGTCGCCCCCTCCGGAGGCCGAGAAACTTCCCATTACCGAAACAAGTTCAAGCGCTGCTTCCCCGAACCTACGAGGAGACGACGAAGAAGCTACAAGTGCCGAGCCAAATGCGAATAGCGTCAACACAATCATCGATGATGCTGCCGAACCGGAAAATGAGTTCTCTGTATGGTGGGCGGACGACCAAGACCCGGAGAACCCCATGAATTGGTCAAAAAGTCGGAAGCTGGGCATCATCGCGACACTTTCCTTCATCACTTTCCTCACGTACGAAGAACTTCCCAGTAAACTGTCTCTCGTCTTTCTACACTGACTAACTCGACTTTAGGCCCCTAGCGTCGTCAATGTTTGCGCCTGGCATCCCGCAAGTCATGACCGAATTCGGCGAATCCGACGATTCGATCGCCACATTTGTTGTCTCCGTCTTCGTACTCGGCTTTGCCCTGGGACCTTTGATTATCTCGCCGCTCAGCGAGTTGTACGGCCGTGTCTACATATATCATGTCTGCAACGCCCTTTTCGTTGTCTTCTCCGCTGCTTGTGGACTTGCGATCAACATCGATATGCTCATCGCCTTCCGCTTCTTGGCTGGTTTCTCTGGTGTCGCTGTGATTACCTGCGGCGCTGGATCGATTGCGGACATGATGCCCGTTGAGAAGAGAGGCTTCTACATCAGTATCTGGAGTCTTGGGCCTCTTCTCGGCCCCGTCGTGGGACCTGTCTGTGCCGGTTTCCTTGTAGAAGCCAAGGGATGGAGATGGGTGTTCTGGATTATTACCATCACTGTGAGTGCTTCTTCTCCACTACTTCAACACCATGAGTGCGCCCACTAACTTTCCACTATAGTCCGGCGCGGTGACATTAGCATCCTTCTTTGTCCTTCGCGAGTCTTACGCACCAGTACTCTTGGAGAGAAAGGCAGCCCGTTTGCGCAAGGAGACTGGCAATGAAAAGTACCAATCAAGGATGAAGAAGAAGGGAACCCCTCGTCAGATTTTCTTCACAGCCATCGTCCGTCCTGGCCGCATGTTCTTCCGCTCGGCAGTCGTCATGATTTTGTGCCTTTACGTCGCCATGCTCTACGGTTTCCTATACATCCTCTTCACCACATTCACCTTTGTTTACCGCGACACGTATGGTTTTGGTTCAGTCGGGGCCGGCCTCTCTTTCATCGGAGGCGGTGTCGGCAACATCCTCGGACTCGCCTACGTCGGAACCTTGTCGGATAAGATCATTCAGAGACGACAAGCCGAGGGCAAGGAACCTAAGCCTGAAGACCGCCTCCATCTCATCCTCACGGTGCCCTCTTCGCTCACGATCCCAATCGGTCTCATGATGTACGGCTGGACGGCAGACAAGCAGCTTCACTGGATCCTGCCAATGATTGGTACCGGTATCATGGGTTTCGGCTCGATTGGTATTCTCATGACGATCAACACCTACTTGGTCGACGCATTCACGCTCTATGCTGCTTCCGTTACTGCTGCGAATGCCGTTTTGAGGAGTCTGCTAGGCGCTCTGCTACCTCTTGGAGGATTGCAGTTGTACAACAAATTGGGTCTTGGATGGGGAAACACCCTGCTGGGACTGCTGACACTCGCTGCGGCGCCAGTGCCCTGGGTATTGTATACTTTTGGTGAGAGGATTAGAAGGAGCCCAAGATTCCGTCAAGACTTTTAGACTATATAGACCGTTGCATGGTTATCATCTACTTACATAGAAGGCCTTGTCTAGTACATATTCTGCTTAATAAAATTGCCACATACCCCAGGGTCTCGCATAATCCTCGTCTTGATACGGCACAACACTCCATAATTATGATTTGTTCAAATAGTTGTTCAGTTTCCTTAAGTTGGTGCTGCATTCGCTTGGCGGATGGCGCCGTCATTCGCAAATTGCCTTTGGGGGATTTGATATTGCAGCCGAAGTAAATGAGCCTTGGTGATGAAGAATTCTCCCGCATGAAAAAAGACTGCAGATTCATTGAGATCATGGCTGGTTTGCGCAAAGGGGCCAGTCATTTCCTCTAATATTTGGATTTCCAATATACCGATTACTTTGGACATAGAGTCTGCTGATTCCGTACTACATCTATGATGGTCATGATACGAAAACAGAATAGTTCATGTCACGGGAAGTCTAGAATGGTCGGATAGCTAGGTTTTTAGTGTCGCCCATAGCGGGTGAGTTTCTTCACGATCCAATTGCAATTGCAACCCGGACTGGATCTGATTCACGGATCCTGAGACCACTGTCTTCATCAGGAACTTTAGATGGGAACACAGGCATCGCAAAGGGACTCGCGATGAGCCTGTAAGGATAAGTCTTCTCGACGAAATTCACCTCCATTCAGACATGGCATAGAATCTGTAGTTGTCGGCTAGAGGTACCAAGTATATTTTGTTAGCCGCCAAGAGTCCAGCCATCTTCAACCGGGGAATACTGATACTTATAGTTTTGTTGCGTATACTTTCCGGGGTGAAAAGTGACAGTCGTAGTTACTTTAGCTAATTTCTTAGCATTGTCAATATCGTAGGCTCAAGTTTGTTCTCTCCGCAACCGTCATTACAGTCGACGAGGTTCCTAGCGACTGGTCCTATGGGAAGAATTGTTGCATTCTCATGTACGTAATCATGGCCGAAATGATTTCCATCAAACATGAAATTTCTTCTTTCAATGCCCGGCATTAATCCCACAGTCTACTAACCTATCATAATCTTTCACTAAATAAGGCGGGTTTTCAGCTCCTCACTGGGTAGGCCCGAGATAATTAAGTCAGAAGTCCAGGAGCATCTCATTGTGTAAAAAATCGTAACGTTGAATGGAGAGACCAACACTAAATCCTCACATGTATCCAAAATTGACCCTGGCAATCTTACTGCAGCCCAAGCATAATCCAACTCCGCTTTCTCCACGTACATCATTGTAAACATGCCTCACTTGGTCTGACCCATTCAACTTCTTGCCCCCTCTCCAGGCGGACAAGCAGCTGTGTTTGGCAACACATCAGTAGCCCCTGAGCCATCAAAGTAACAGGTGCCCAGGTCATTTTGGCAAGGAGAGTCTGGGCCTGGGCAGCACCAACCGTATGATTTCCATTCGTAGTTCTACAACACTAATTGTTAGTCGAATGCCTAGAGGTACGAACGCAGGAAGATAGTTGGATCCTAGTTCGGTCGCCTGAATAGCAAGAGACCAGGTGTACTCACATAGCACGGAACCGGAGATGGCGCAGCACTAGTTGAAGCTGGCGCGGCAGACGTGGCAGTCTCAGAAACCTCAATTGTGGTCTCAGGAGACGTTGCCGTCACAACTTCCACGATAGATGACCCTGAAGATGACTCCACCGCTGATGTGATTGGATCAACCGAACTAGAGAAGGTGCTTGCTGGTCTCAAGCTAGTTGGCGTTGGCGGACTAGAGCTCATTGTCGTGGTGGTTGACTCCGCTCCTGCTCCACCTCCACCTCCACCACCGCCACCAACAGGAGGAACAACGGGCACACCACCAACTACAGGAATAGCAATCGGAGCCACAGGGACATACGGATTTCCATTAGCATCCACAGTTGTATAAGTAGCTGTTGTGTAGCTCGTAGACCATGAGACGCCGGAAGATACGGTCAAGGAGAAGGTTTCGGACGAGACAGATGTGTGTGTAGATTCTCTTCTGCTCCAAGTACTCCTGGCACTCGATTCAATCGGCCTTGAACCTGTGCTAGATATCGAATCGGAAGATGTTACTGCAGAAGTAGTTCCCGAGGAAGTGGAAACCGCGGTGCTAGATAAAGATGTACCAGAAGTGAGTGTTGAGGACGTAGGTGCGCTAGAACTGAAGCTAGAACTAATGCTGGAGCTAAGCGTGAAGGAGCTCTGAGAGCTGCTGGCCTGGGAACTGGAAGACGAAGACACACGGGAGCTACTGCTGCTAGAGGACGAGGCGGTGTTGGAACTAGATGACGTTGAACTCCTGCTTGAAGACTTGCTAGAGCTAGAAGATCGCTTGCTTGAGCTCTTCGAACTTGAGGACGTCGAGGATGATCTAGATGATGTCGTATTGCGGTGGGTTGTTGTGGTATTGGTGAATAAATGAGTTGAAAATGTGCTTGGGCCCGTTGAGTTGAAAGACGGTGGGGGAGTAACGGTGGGATCCAGTGGGCCTGTTTGACGCGGAATCAGGCCATTGTGCCGGTGGGCGGTATGTTTGTAGTGTTCGGCTCTGTCTAGCAACTCATGAGCCGCTGCCGCTCCGTCATGGTGTCGAGCCTGCACAGAGAGTGCCGCGACGAGGAATGTCAAAAGAGTGAATTTTTGCATTTTGCAAGACTATCAGCAAACAAAAGAGTGACTGCAGAAAATACAAGCGAGTGCGAGAGTTGAGCATGCCAAGACATCACGAGTCACTGAGCAAAGAGCCAACTTCGCCCTTTTGTATTTTTATCCGACGGTCTTAGTACCTTCGATATCAAAAAGCTTAACGCAGGGCTGAGATGTCAATAGAGTGCTCAAATCCACTTGAACCCACAGAGGTGGCTCGGCATCAAGACATTTTACTTGGACGGAGCGGTAATGGCGGCAGAGCCCCTGATTCACGGAGCCTTCGGTTCGTGTTGGTCGCCGAGCGTGACCAGTCCGCTTTCCGCTTCCGCGGGCCGCCGAGAGCTATGGCCTAAATCCGCTTAATGAACGCGGTAGCATTGCGTCTAGAACTCATCCGATCAAGCGCCGCAATGCTATGGGTGCCATGTGCTTGGCAGGAGGTAAGGCTGGTACTCGAGTCAGTGACTTTGAAACTCCTTCTTAATATCGCCGTGTAAAGATAGTGCCACGACCCATTCGCCCCTGTCTGGCAGAGAGGCTGCTCAGAGTGTGTGGATCTATAGCTGTCCTTTTATCAATGTAAATGTCCAAGCGCCGTTGTGGCATGTCGTCAGAATCCGTACAGACGATGATTTCAATGGTCCGGAATTTTCACAATTGTCCGTCGCGGTCTTCCAATTATCTCAAAAATCAAACGTACCAAGTAAGAAACCCACTTACCCAGTGCACTATGAAAACAATTCCTGCCCCGTTTCGCACTCGACGCGAATCTCCAGTCGGCCCAAAGAAATCCGTTGAGAAAACCTCACTTTTGGGCCAGTTCGCTCTTGATACTTTCTTCTAATTTTTCTTTTTTTTGTCTAAACACCATGCATAATCTTTCTATGTAGACTCAGTTACTGAAGTGTTCCCAGCGGGATGTGTGTCCCAAGTTGCAATGAACTCTCGTAAAATGGTCTCAATGTTTCGAAACAATAATTCCCTTTTACTTTGGATTCCATCGCAGTCCTCATTTGATAAATTCTCGCCGTCTTCCTCCGCGAGGTTGTCCGAGACGATGTGTAAGTAACCGAACCTGACTTCCACGTCCTTGGCTGCCTGTGCCATGTGCCATGTTTCGCAGTCAACCCAGGAACAAGTCTCCTGCCAGTGCCGTAACCATTCCTTTGTCTCGCACAACGGGGACGAAACCGAGACATGCCGACCCCGCATAACCAGATCAGATGATGCTATGGACTCCATATCTCGGAGAGGGTCATCCCAAGCTATATCTTTGTCTCCCAATGACGATTCGTCTCCCGTGGCAATTCTATCGTTGGCGGAAACGTTCTCTGCAAGAGACCCAACTTTGCTAACATAAATAAGGCACTGCATCTTCGAGATTTTTCGCAGTACACGGACTAGAGACCCTGCAGCTTCGCTCCAGAGACCCTCTTTACATCCTAGCAGCGTGATACTTTTGCCACTGTCAGACGCAAAGGTATACCAGGCAAATAGCCCGTTTGGATGTTGCGAGCCCCACGTAATTCCAGAAACGAGTTGACTCAGCCTGTGGACTTCACCGAAGATCACAACATCTGTTGCTCCAAGTTCTGGAAGATTCGATTGCCGGAAGACATCCTCGCTTGCCGCATCTGTCGGTATAATCGTTTCCACCCTGGTAGCTCTATTCTCAAACTGTAGGTACGTCGATATCACTCTGCTGTAATGCTGAACAAAGGCTGCACAGGGAAAGCAATTGAGTTCCAATGTCAAATCGTCGATAATCGTAGCGGTCGGGCGCCAAAAGTTGAACCGTGTAGGCTGCTTTTCGATTTCCCAAGAGGATATTATTGCGGGAGGGTCTCTTTGAAATGAGCCGGTGACTCGAATCGTCTGCCATCCTGATCGTTTGATATCTTGATGGATTCTTTGATATATGTACTCCCGTAGAGATTTTCCCATAGAATGCTCATCCGGGATTAGACTGTTGTGTTCTTCCAAGGCATGAGTGCCAAGAATTCCCAGTTCAGGGATATCAAGTTCCTCCTGAACATGGGAGGAAATCTCCATTGCATCTGCTGCGAAGGACATCTGTCGAAAGCGTCGATTGGGCCATTTTGACCATCAAATCTTCGGACGCCTTGAGACTCGCTCGGTCAGCGTTTTAGGATCTGTGTTTTATTTCATCCCCTGGCCTACATGCACATGCCCTTCCAGTCTCCATTTTGCAATCGACTGTTCAAATTCTTTTTCTTACTTAGAAGCGACTGTCTGGACAATGATCGGTCTGGGCCGAAGTCGCAATCTACAAAGTCAGGTGGGCTGGGCCGCTGGCGGTTGATGCTTGGCCCATGAGAACACGAGGTAAAATGACGATTTGCTTTGTCATTCCCCCTGCCTACACGGTTACATGTAGAGGGAGGAAAGCGGTGGCGGTAAGAATTGAAGCGTTGTTCGGGTCAACGAACAACAAAGCCACCTTCCTGGGCGCTTGCAACGCCAAGCAACTCGATGTTCAAATTCTTTCAACTACACCCTCTCTACCGTGGACTAAGTCACCACCGCCAGTGATGTTCGAGGTTCCCATTGAAGGAAGCTCCGTGGTGAGCGGAATATTGAATTTGTAATCATGGCTAGCTATTTTTAATACTTGAATCTTTCATCTGCTCCTCATTAAACGTCGTCGAGGCCGCACTCGCGGACCAAGGCTCGCTGTCCAAGTCGCTACCGTTCCGCTCGATCGCCGCCTCCAAGTAATAGTGGGATGACTTCCCCTGACTCGGCGCCGAGGACTCTATCTCAAGCGAATCCAGCCTGATGGGCTTCTGTGCCGCGTCCTTAGGCCACGACTGGGCGTCTGCTTGGTGGGACCTCAAAGAGTGCGAGCCAGTGTTGGCCATTGCGAAAACATGCCGTTGCTGGTGCTGGTGAGACTTGTCGCCAGCGGATGTGGCCCGGACGTTCCATGTCCGTGAAGACACGAGGACCAGGGCTTTCACGAAGAGGGGCCGTAAGGCTGGGAGGCTACTGCACATGACGGCGGCGTTGAGCTCGGCGCAGGACCAGTCTATGACGCCGACGTAGTCCCCTTTTGATTTGGCATACGTTAGCACAGGAGTCTAATCCTGTTTATTGGAATGGCCTTGAATGACGTACACGTAGGGTCGAACGTATGAGCAAAGGAAACAAGTTGTTTGAGTCGGACCATGCTAGCAACACATGCACTGGTTCGTCGCCGCGTCAGCTTCCCTTTCGTTACAGGCGATATCATGGACGGCGAATACTCACAAGGAGCCAAGGGCAAACATTCCCAATAAAGCAGCCTTCTTTTTCTTGTCTAGCTGGAGCCTCATAAGCTCCGGAACGGGGAGGACAATAAGGACAATATCCTCTAGAATACTGCAGGCCGCGCCGCCATAGCTGATAGCCGAGAGGTTGAGACATTGACTCGGGACAGACCGGTTCCAGATGGATTGAATCGGGGTACATTGGAAGATGATAAGAAGTAGGAACATGAGGCTGCGAGTAGTGAGGAAGATCAAGAAGATGTTGATCTTGAGGCGGAAGGTCTTGCCGGTGAAGACACGATAGTAGAAGCAGGCGATGGAAACTTTGGCAAATCCTCTGAACAATAAAACAGTTAATGATCGTCTTCCTCCTTTCTAGGTATTGGACCTTTGACGTACTGCACGAAAATATAGAGCATCTGCAAAACGTAAATGATCTACAAAGCATTGTGAGCAAAACCGACGACAAGTATAAAGTACATAGGTTGTACGATCTCGTACCTGCAGGATCATCTTGCTGTTTGCAGGATCGATATTCCAATAGTGATGTCCGAACCCCAAGTCACCATCTAGCCATTCATCCTGGTAAGTATTTACACCTTTGGTCGATCTGGCAAAAGAAAGGAGGAGCATATACTTGCGTAGCCGAGCCCGGATATTACTATCAATATTGCCTGCAATTACCTTATTAGACAGATTACTCTCATCTACATGTCATATAAAGATCGCAGACTTACCATAGCAATTAAAGCCGCACCGTCGTCCCACCACAACCTACTGGCGACTTGTATGCGGGCCACACATCGAAGAAGCACAACCACGAGAGTCATGGTGGGAAGGGCAACGGAAAAGAATTTGGCAGGACGTGCTTGCTCTTCAATGGGGTAGTCCTTGCACAATTCTTGAGAAACATTGACGGTGGCTTCATGGAATCTAGTCAGCGATAACCGCGTGTGACAGAGCTTCAGCGCCTGACTCTGACGTACCAATCTGGTCGTTGAAGTCGCATGACTGCTGTACACACTGCGAACTGCGCGCCTGCAATGGGATGTCGGTGCAGACGCAGTCTGTTATCTTGTCAATGGCGCAGTGGGCGGAATGGTATCCGTCGAGGAGGCATCCTATCTGTGATTCAACAGGAGGGTCAGAACATGTTCTCTTGCGGTCTTGATGCCTAGGTGACCTTACCGCGCAATGTGGGACTCTCGCCATGAGAGCCGTTATAGAGGATGAGTTATAAGATGTGGACGCCGGCTGGGCGACTGCGGCCAGAAGCAGCACGATACCGACCCTCAGGATTCGTTTCATCTCCATGATGGAAGACAGGCTCTGAAGCGTTTCACCCGGCGTGGTGAATAATCGGAGACCGCCCCTGTCTCTTCCATCTCCAGTCCCCCCCCCCCAAAAAAAAGGAACCCAAGGCCGGGCACGGCAACATCTTGTATCGGAGCCCGGGGTCAGGGGTTCGAATTGGGAAAACACCAGACGAACGCGGTCGCCTTTGTCGAAGTCTCTGGGCTAGCGCCCTAGCAATCGTACCATGCACTCAGCACTAGTCGGCGAGACAAGAACGCCACAGAACGCCTGGCCGATGGGATGAGTGAACGAGCGTCTGAGCGATCTCGGTATGGATGTGACAGGTCCCTAGAATCGACCCGGATCAACATGGTCCGTTTTAGGAGGATGAATGATCCAGTTGGCTCAATGGCTGACGAGCATTCAATTATCTAGATGATCATAAATCATCCAAGTATTCCAGATAAGCATTCAAACATTCAAACGAGCACCCAAGCTACCAGAGGACCCCTGAGTATCCAGAAGGTCTTGTAAGTATTCAAGATATACTAATAGAATTATCTCAAGCAAGAATCAAGTTGCTTGATGGTGGCGAGGATGATGTTAATGGTGGAAAAGATTTCTGGGATCTCTCAGCGTGGTCCCGTGACGTGACGATACTGCAATACTTGGCCACTTGCATTTGTCTCAATTGGTTCAACTAGGCGACCACTTGTGTTATCGGAACGCATTTCCGAACTAAAGCACGTTGGGAATGTAGGTCGTTATGGAAGGGGATAAACCAACTTCCCCTGGAGAGGCTGTATCTACACCTTGGATTTTGAGTTCTTGACCATCGTCGCGCCGGCCTATCTCTTCGTCTTGTATCCCTTATGTAGCAGTCCGTGCAAACGGGGGCTCTCGGGGCGAAGACAGGCATTTCCAGCCAATAAGAGACTTTAGCCACAACTCTAAACTTCTCCCGGTAGAAGTGCGCACGAGTCACATAGCGCACTTGAACACAGCCCGCACGGCACTTATAGCGCAGACACAGCGGTCAATTCCTAAGACTGTAGTTGGTTCATCCTGGCGTTGGGGAACAAGATGTGTACATACATACGTACCTACTTCGTACCTCACTGTACTTGACGTACCAAAAAACTTGCCTATTGTATGTCGATGTGGAATGTGTTGCAGCTCATCCCAGAAAGACGGAAACCAAATTCGACTTCTACTGTAGTATTGATCAGAGGATTGGGGAATTTTCGATATTTGATTGTGTGAAGAATCATTCGACGTTGTTGGGTTGAGCGCTGTCGAGAAGCTCCGAAACGCGCTACGTGGCACTAGCACGATCTACCGCGTGGCGTCTCTGCGCACGTCCCGACGCGATGGATCTCGAGCTAGATTCGACGTCCATCACCGTTGCGAGGGAGGCGGTGGCAGCGAGCGACGAGGACCTGCCATCACGAAGGGTGCGAAAGCCATCCGCGAAAGCCCAACTGAACCAGACTCATCAAGAGATAATCGACAATGCGACCGACGGAGCGACGGAGGTTGCTGGTGGTGGCCGGCGGACGACGACCAAGCGAGCCACAACCCTGGCCAAGGAACGCGCGAAACCCATAGAGGATGACGACAAAGGGCTGCTCCTGACGATGGGCAAGCAGGTCAAAGAGCTACACACAGCGGTCAAGATCATGTTCGATGCGTGGAAGAAGTCGGAAGCACGGAATAAAAACGTTGAGGCAGAGCTTCGCGTGGTCACTTCGGAGCTGCAAACAGTCAAGAGCGAGCTACAGGCCGTCAAAGGAGAGCTGCAAGCGATGAAAGAACGCGTGGAGGACGAAAGCGCCAAGACGAACGAAAACCTCGAAGCACTCGCAACAGTTGCTGCGACGCGGAACAGCCCAAGTGTGTCCTACGCGGACGTCGCGCGAAGCGGCTTAGGTGGGCAAGGTCGCGACTCGCGGGTAGCCACGGCGGGCAACGCGACGCTGCCGAGCCGCAGCGACCCCTTCTGTACGATCGATACATCAAGAGTTGAAGAAGGCAGCGACAAGCTCAACCCAGGCCGGATCCGGGCTGCGGTGGAAAAGGAGATGCGCGCGTTGGACGGACAGGGTAGCTGGCGGTGTCTGGCCGTCACGGTAGACCCAAGGAACGCGGATAGGATCCGGATCATTTGTCGCGACGATGCGGAGCATAGGTATGTCAAGCAGATCGCGGAGAAGAGCTTCGGCCGTGGAGCACGCGTGCTACGAGACGAACTCTATCCCGTGAAGATCGACAACGTGAAGCGAATTGAGGTACTGGATGAGAAGGGCAATGTCAGGGCTGAAGCGGCGGAGGCACTTAGCCGAGAAAACGAGACCACGGTTGCCAAGATTTCTTGGCTTAGCAAGA